GTAAAAAAAAGGCTGGCAGGTGCCAGTCATGGTAGCTGAGCAGTCTTAAGGCATGTACTGTCTTTGCTTGCTCAGAAGCTGGGATCATAGGTTCAAATCCCACACAAGGCATTAATGTTTGGTATGTGTTTAGGTAGAAGCCTTGTGACGAGCTGATCACGCATCCAAAAAGTGATACCGTCTGGAAAATGATCATGAAACCGAAAAAATCAGAGGCCAGTGCCCAAGGGTGGCACAGAGCCAGTAATATTAATAATAATAATAATAATAATAAAAAAATAAAATAAAATAAAAACAATAATAAAAAAAAACAGCCAGCCGGTGTGTAAGGCTCAACCCTACCACCATCTGCGAGCCGACTGTCAAGAAGAATGTGGGAGCCTCAATATCTCACAACCCTATGGGCCTTCACAGCCTCTTACAGGAATAGCTTTACTTTTTTTTTTACCTCTGTAGTAAAACAGTCTTAATTCATAATTTGTGACCCTCTTTTTGCAGTACGATTTTAGAAAAGGGGTTGGTAAGAAATCATATTGGTCTTTTAGATTCAGACATGGGGTTTTAAAAAATAAGTATAATCCTTTGAAGTGTATTGTAGGAAAGTTTTGGAGTCCATAAGTCCATTGCAGTTTTGTCAAAAATTTCTTCATTGCAGAGGTGTGTGACTGCAAAGAATGCCCTGTTTGACAGACTTGTGTTGTGAAACACAGAGAATGATGTTGTGTTACCTTAGTATGTACTCAAGTAAAATTAAGCATATCTTAGAGGAAGTGCCCAAATTGACCTCCAGTGGCTGATAGGCAGGTCTCTGAGCAATGCATAAGGAATGTCTGTCAAAACTGTAGCCAGACATGAAATGTTTACTTCAGAGGTTACACAGGAGATCAGAATAATTTGCAGCTGCAAATTATACAATTATACAGTCTGCTTTTACCGGTTCTCACGGTCTCTCCGCTTGCAGATTTCTTATATTTTTTCTTCTACCCTGAAGATGGAGGCGATACGTTCCTCCGAAACGTCGGTTAACACCACATATACACGGTGCCAAATCCCAGAAGATTGCTTTCTTCATATACAAGGGAAGATTACAAATGTGCGTGATAAATATAGACTGTATGGTGGTAATAATAGTTGTGACATGACACCTGTAAGCTGGAACAGTCCATCGCTAGACATTGGTTCACTAAAGCGTGTATCTGCGGCAGCGGATACACTTGTAGAAATCAGAGCTCTGCCATAGCATTAACATAAGTTTTGTAGCAACGGATAAACAGGGAATAACAGAGTTCACTTTGAAGTTATAAAAGGCATACACATAAGTGATTCGAGAGTTCAATTAAGTTCAGGAGAGCTTGTTCACGAGTTGAGCCATAAGAGAATTCAGCTGTGTGTTAACCAGCTCAAGAAGTGACTGATTTGTAAATCAGAACCAAGTCGGTCACGCAGAAGAGAAGACACTCGTAGTCCACTAAGGAATGGAGCAAGTCTTAGGCAGTCATTGATTATAACTGTAGAGACAGTGTCAATAAATCCAGTCACTGAATCCATAACCCATTATTATCAGTCACAGAACTGCAGACACATGACAGTAACTTTTGCCCAATAAATGTCCCTCTCCACAAAGTGCAGATTATGTAATAGGAAAGAATTGAAATTTTGTGGTATGAATTTTTAAAATTTTGTTTAATTTATTTTGCTTTTGATTATGTGTGTTCATTTCTTAATAAAAGTCTGTACAGGACTGTAATTATTATTTTATATAGTTTTCCTCCATTTTCTTAGTCAGTTTTAATAATTGTAGGGCATGACATGGGCTTTCAGGAACAAAACTGGAATTTATAACATTTCACTTATGGGAAATGTGACCCTCCAGGAACCGATTAGGTTATTATGTGTGGGGAGTGATCACCTATATTACTGAAATTTAATAGTGCCTGTCATTGTTTATTTTGTATCTGAGGGCCAAATCACTTAGTCACTGGCCGTTATAGTTTGTTAAGTTGTGGCTAAAAGGAATGTACCTCTGTTGTTTAGTGGTGAACTAGACAGTGGCCATTGTCATGCTGTGTTGCCAATTGAACAAGAAGGGGAGTTATGTATTTTTGAAGAAGTCTGTTTATAAATATTTCCCTGTTGCAATTTCAACAAGCTTTATGCTAATTTATATAATAATGCAATATTTCATGTATGTGATGGATATTTATTAACTGTTTCAGGAATTCTTGAAAGCTACTGTTGATTTGGCTGATCTTGGAGGCTTATACTTAGTTCTTATGGGTATTCCTGGCAAAGGTCATGCTAAAGTACTGACAGCTGGGGTGGGCTGGGCCGGAGCAGATATACTGCTAACTCGATTTCTTTTGTTGTGGCTTGGTGCTCGCGGAGCTGAATTTGACTGGGTATATATCCAGAAGAGTTTCGATTCTAACATCAGCCTGGTAAGTAAACATTCACTTCCAGATTAAAGCCTAAGAGAATAACACATTGTATCAGAAGCTTGCACTGTTACTCATTAACCTCAGTGTTTATTATACAGTTTAATTTTATTTTACTTTCACAAATTATAGCCTATGAAATGCTTAACATTATTTATGGATGAAACTGTACTTGCAGCAGACTGGTGACAGACAACAAAGGAAGGCGCTTTGCAATTTGTCTAATATACTCTGTAGGCATTGTGTTCTATTCCTGTTCTATACAGAATGTCTGGGATAGGCATGATAAAAAAATGTGTACACAGAAAAATATTTATTATACAGAGGAAACAATTTTGCCATTCAGTAGGTTAAAGGCCCAAGTTTTGTTTACAATGTATCAATGGACAGGCGTGTGCCCCCTTGAATCACTAGCACTCATGGCAATGATTCAGCAGTGATTTTGTGGCTCGTGGAGGTGATATCTGTTACGCTTCTTCAGTGTAAGTTCCGTTCAGTGCATGGAGGATCAACACCAATGTACAACTCCATTAAGAAATGAGATATGTCTGAGAGAAACTGAAAGTGTTGTAAATCAGAAATTGTCAGTATGTCTGACATAGACGATGAGCACATTAGACAAGATTAATTTTTGTGCTTCTGGACATTATCCATCGTCCTGTTTTTATTTAACACATGCAGTGTTTTGGAGACTGGATTCTATCTCCGTCTTCAAAACCTACTGTTTCTGTGTAGCCCATGCAGTTTGATTCACACAGCAAGCAGGCATCTGTAGTTAATTATGTACGTAAATGTTTAAATTTACATTTATGTGTACAAACTGCGGTTGAAGAAGCACATCAAACCAGCAGACTGTGACTGTAGAAACCTTGTGATGAAATTTTCCTGGACTGTGTGTGTTCATATGAGGAGGCAGCATTCCATTTGAATGGTACTATGAACATTCATAGCTGCAGAAATTATTGTACATCAGAGGGATACACCGAAGGATAATGCTATGGTGTGGCATGGTGAATGGACCGTATTTCTGTCAGGAACGAATTCATACCTGGGAATGTTAGAACACCACACAGTGTCAGAGTTGCCTTGTGATGTATGGGTCCAGTAGGATGGAGCACACCTACATTTTGGAAACAATGTCAGTTTTTAAATGAATGCTTTCCAGGCATGTGGATTGAAGAGGTGGTTTCCTCTTATGTCCCCCAAAATCACCAGACCTAACAACAGTGGACTTTTTGCTCTGTGGTTATGTGAAGAATATCATGTCAGGAGAAAACTGCCAATCTTTGAATTCTTGACACTGCATAACAGAGGCAATTACAATGCTGACTGAGGTTATTCTTGCAAACATGCGGAATGAGATCAATTATCATTTTGATGTGTGTCAAGCAACGGATGATGCTCATATTGAAACTTACTAGGTGAATGATAAAAAAAAGTCTTTTGTGCTACTGAATTGCCAGATTCTTCTGTGTTTTAAATATTTTCTGCATACAAATTCTTTCATACCATTATTGGGCACCCTGTACTAACCTCTATGTGTACTTCAGTCATAGAATTCCATGAAATTACACTGAGCTGATTAACCAACTCCATGGAATAGAGTTCCTCCTGTGAAGCTAGCAGTTGCCCAACCTGGTAATTGGAAGGGTTCATAATATGTTTTGCTTCCAGGTGCAACACATCACCACAGCCACCCTTGTATGGCTTTGGTCTCGCCATGATCTCAATCGCTCACTGCTTCCCATTGTTACAGCAATGCTTCTCCTCTGTACTTACAAGATTTTGTTGATGGAGATTTTTGTTCAGGCCACCGTAAGTGGTCCATGGGTAGCACTGCTAGTCCGAGCTATCTACACACTTTGTCTTGGAGTCACTACACTGCAGATTTATGCTGGCTTTGCTCAGTCTATTGGAGTTTACTAACTGCTGAATATGTGATCAAAATTTATGAATGTGCCAAAGTTTAAGAACAAAACTGTTTCTGTAACTTCTATCTTCTGGGATATAACACCACATAGTCTGCTGTAAGACAGCTGATGTTTCTGGGGAATCTGTTGCCCCCATCTTCAGGGCCAAAGAACAAACCAAGCAAGAAACCACGGATGGGGGTGGCATGTTCCTCCAAAATGTTAGCCGACTTTCAAGGGACTCCATGGCATAGAACTCTTCATAACCACTGCTGTGAGAACCTCAAATCTTCTTACATAATATTAATATTATTCCCAGAAATGTTTTGCAAAGTATAAGTATTGTCAAATTGTAATTTCATTAAATTGAAATTTATGGAGATTTACCTCATTTAGCTGCAAATGAATTTACAACTGTGAATCAGAAGCACTGACTCCAGTGGTACTATGAAGGGTCCTGTGAGGAAAAGACTGTCGCCATCTGCTGCTTGTTTGGCTTACTCTTCGGCCCTAAACATGGGTGCGGCATGTTCCTCTGAAACGTCGGCGAACATCTACTGGACTACAGAGTATCATACTTCAGTATCTTCTTACAGTGTTAAACTGCAACATGTGACAGGTACCATATTATTTTGAATATAAGACACATCCAGGTTTTAGGGAAAAAATTAGAAAGGTGCACATTCCTTGAATTTAAGATGCACCTCATTTTTTTCAACAGGGAAAAATGTGTAAAATGTGCATCTTATATTCAAAGTAATATGGTATATGTTTTTTGTTTTCTAAGAAGTGCAGTGTGTTTGAATAATCTAAGAGACAGCAAGTAGCATTAGTCTTGATGAAAGGATGACTCTTATGTCACAATGTATTGTGCTTTGCATGTGGTACAAGCTGGAATGTCGTGGGTTTGGTTCCCGATGAGGTCATTGAATTTTTCAATTTACCTAATCCTTCCAGCCGCACTATGGCCCTGGGGTTGACTCAGCCTTTAACAGAAATGAGTGCCACGAATCTTCCTGGAGGGGTAAATGGCAGCCGGCGCGTAAGGCTGACAACTTCACCATGTGTGAGCCGACTGTCTAGAAAATGTGGGAGCCTCGATGTTTCACAACCCTATGGGCCTTCACGGCCTGGTACAGTTCCATTAATGTGTCTAGTACCCAACATATATGTTATTCGAGTTTTCGTGTCTGTTGTGACATTAAATTCATTGAAGCTAAAAATATCTGTGCTTGTATGTCCATAGTAATGAAAGAATCAATATCAGGTTTTTTTTTCATTGGCGCTACAGCCTTCATTTCGGCCTAGGCCTACCTCCATGAAACTCTCCGTTTCACTCTGGTTTTACTAGATCTTAAGACATACAGTAGGACTCCTTGGTTGGGTGATCAGCTCGTCGCAAGGCCTCTACCTGTACACAAACATAGAAAAAAGCACACAAACATCCATGCCCCGAGTGGGATTCGAACCCGTGATCCCGGCTTCCGAGCGAGCAAAGACAGTGCATTCCTTAGACCGCTCGGCTACCATTACCGGCCAATATCAGCTTTACAGATATCCAATTCTTGTCTGCCAACATCTTATCTCTGAATTAGTTCTAAACTAGACAGTATGAAATAGTGTACTTTTATTTCATTATGTTAAAAAAAAAACTACAACTGTTTCTAAAATATGGCTTCATTTCGGTCTGGCTAACTGAAAGCTTGAGCTGATCATCCTAGATGTGTATGAACAATTAGGCCCATCAATTATATCTGTGGGACTGGAATTCCTATATAAACACTGTCTGCTATCATAGGCATTCTTTATTTGCATTCACATCTATGTTATATTCCAATGTACACGTTCTTAGCTTGAGATTTACAGTTTCTTCCTGCAAAATACATGACAGCATTACTTAAACCTGCTAAGTTTCTGTGTATATTACAAAATAGGATTTTCTTATGCATGGTTATTTTATACTTTCTTTTAAAATTAATTTTAAAATATTGGGACTTCACCTCGCAGTATAGGAAGTACAGCATGCACTTTTCAACATCCATTTGTGAACATTCGTTTGAAAGTCACCAAAATACAAGGAACAGACCTCTCTCCATCACTGTCCAATAAATACGTGTGTGTGTGTGTGTGTGAGGCATGTTCTGATCTATGTGACATGCGATAGGGTTCATATTGCCGCAGTTTTGTGAGACCTGAGGTTCCCAATGTAGTGACTATGAAGATTCCTTATCTTCTGGTATGTGACACCATGTTGTCTTGTAGATAATTACCGATGATATGGAGGACTGTGCTATCCGCATCCTCAGGAAAGGGGAGCATGGAAGAAAGGTATGGACATACACAGAGGGAGTACTGGGGCTGGTACCACTTTCTTGTGCTCGGTTACTCTCCTGCCTTGAATTTGGAGGCAGTGTTTATCCGAAAAACCGGTAATGATCTACCAGACTACACAGAATCACATCCTGGAAAGAAGGAGTCTTGCTGTTGTTTTCTTAGTGTTGGTATAAGAGTGAAGAAACATTCCCTGTCTACACTTATGGAAAATAACTTCATGTTAGAGTCACTATGAAATTTGTTAAATTTCTTTCTTTCTTTTATCTGAATCACTAGAATTATATTCTACTTTTAATCTCCTCCTATGTAATATACTTTTTTCAATTCTTTAATGTTAGAGTTTGTTAACACAACAATTTCTTTGGGGAGTAAAACACATCGCACACTTTCTAACATTTGGTATAAATAAATGTCCTTCTTATAGAACCATCACAGTTTTATGTTCAATTTGGAAAGTCTATTTCCAGAGAATTATTACAAACAGATCTCTGAAACACATTTAAAGATCTTATTTTTTTGCCAATGAAGGAGGCCCTATGCTACTTTTCAGAACTGGAAGAGAATTTAATTCACAAAGAATTCTGTGAAATCTTGAACAGTGGACTGTTTAGAAACTAGGCAACTGCAGTTTTTTTCTCCATCAGATGCTATGTTATGCGTACTGGCTGACCTGAACAGCAATGTTAGAACAAACTAAACAACATAATTATTACAAACATCCCTCAATAAATAAGGACACCCTCACAAGAGCAGATACCTTAGGATGGGGAGCACTGGACACGCTGTGCTCCATCCTCACTATCCGAGCTGGAGCTCTCACTAGTAGTTGTGTCCTGATCAGGAGCTGAAGCAGCTGTCCTTAGTCCTCCAGCACTGCTGCCACGGGAGGCACGACTAAATGGAGGTACAGAGGACCAGCCGGGCGAGTTCTGATTCTGCGACTGCTTAAATGAAAATCATATGCAGTGTATGAGCATGGAACATAAACTGATGAAAGACCATGAATATCATTTCCAAATTGTCCACTTCAAACAAAAGTACTTAAATCTTAATAATAATAATAATACTAATATTATTTTTCAAGTGGGACGAGGTTGAGTCCCACGACACTTAGGCTATAAATGGTGCACTGTACCGGCTCCTGATGACAGAAGAGAGAGACAGAGCATCTGGTGGAATGAGAACTGGCAAGGGAAACTGAAGCACTCGGAGCAAACCTGCTACAAATTTCACATGAACTGAAGTGGGACTGAATGCCATTATACAGTCATCCCCCACTAACTGATGATTTGATTCATCTGCACTTCCACAACATGGCCAAATACCCAAACAATCATTTCTCCACAGTCAACAGATGATCGCCAATGCACTGATGCATACCTAAAAAGTTCAGTGATGCTGGCCAACAATTCTAGTAGGGAGGTACTGCGATCTTATTAATGCTCACCGTTTTTCATCATATTTTGCAACTTTCTGAACAAAATTAGTGAAATTACGTGCCCTACAATGGAAAGCAAATCAAATGTTAAAATTGCGGCCATTATCCAACAAATTCCCAACTGACATTTCATGGAACCAATTAGTGTTGATTAATGGGGGATGACTTGTGAGAAGCCAGTCACTAACCATCTGAGCTATGGCATGGTCCCTACAAATAATAAGCCACATTACCTGTATTGTAGCATGTGGACCTGTTACTAACTAATGATTGCAAACAACAGATCCCTAACAAGCACCACTGGGAAGGTGTTCTCTATGCAGTCTGTGTGACACTGTGATGCAACAATTGTTGGAAAATGGTGTTTTCTATATGGTCCACTCCAAGGCTGTATCACTTAACTAACTGAGTTCAGTGCAGTTCAGTAGAGTGGAGTGAGAGAGTGAGTGAGTGAGTGAGTGTTTCAGTTAGAGGACTGCTGTGGTTAGAAGCTGGTAGCTGAGGCACAGGGATAATTCGAGAACCCAAGGTAAGGGGAATGTCTGCTACTGGAAGCCACTACCAGGCAACAACTGTGAAGACAGCAGACTGAGAAGACTTAGTACATGCTCTAGTGAATTGTTGAGTGTGTGAATTAATGATGGCGCTATAGTTACTGGTAGTTATAACCTGTAAGTGCTCAATAAATCCAATTACCAATCCAAACCGTGTTTATAGCCACACTCCAACATGTGTCACTATTTTGACATATTTATGAACTGCAAAGGACATGGAATGGGTAGTGGACTAATTTAAGGTACTGAGCAAACCAAAGAGCCTATACATAATTAAAATTTCTCTTCAGTATTGTTTAACACCTACTGTGAAGTGAACCTATGCCTTCCATGTTGGCAGACTATCACTGTCTTCATCTGTCAGCTAGGTGTGAAGGTGTCATTACACATCACCCAAAATGTTGGTTCCTATCTACCAAACTACTCAACACCACATACCAAGTGACTGTAATGTAAATAACGACCACTGTGAGGACTTCAAATCCTATAATTACTTTTCTGGGATAAGCCATTTGTTAGAAACTCTTAGAATTAAGTTTGGGTTTCATACGAAACAGGTACTGGACTAATATGCACACAAATTGAATTCGCCATACATCTTTTAGCAGACAGCTCAAAAAGTTTTGTGAAGACATGACATGTAGTTTCTGAGATGAAATCTGGATGTACAGACATTATGCATTCATTTTATACACTTCTGCAAAGAAAGCATTAAAGTGTAAAATGTTGCAAGAAACAAAATAAGACTAGGGGATCTAGACTTCTTCACTCACCCACAAAATACTTCCATGATTTGTGTCAGTGAATATTAACAGTATTTCTCTAAATACAAATTTAGTATTAGGTATTATTTACAACGTAAAAAGTGCCTTATGTGGAGATTATATCCATCTGTCTGTGTATCTGTGACCCGATTTCAGTGTCTAAGCAACTGGACAAATTTTCTTAAGATCTGATATGGGAAACTCTAAAAGTTGACAGGCAGTTCTGGTTTTGAGACTTACTGACCTGCAATGCAGCAGTTCACTACATGTAAGACCACAAATGGACTTTTCATTTGTATCATAAACTCTCGATTCTGGTGAATTTCAATACAACAGATAATGGTGTAATATTAGTCTACCATTTTTTATTTTTAGTCATACTGACTTATATCGAAACCCACTTTATTAAGTCCATAAAGTGGGCAGCCAAAAACGGAAAGGACAGATGCAAATGTGGACAGAGTGTGGATCTTGGTGCGCTCAGATCAAAGATTAGGTGTGAGACTAACAGAAGAACTGAATATGAATAGGGAAATAGCGTGAGAGATTATTATGGATGATTTGGGAATGGGACAAATTTCTGCAAAACTGGTGCCTGAGATCTTGACAGATGACCGGAAAGATCAGCTTCACATTTTATACAATGCAGAGATGTTTGATAGGATCATTACCAGTGATGAAATGTGGTGTTTTCAATGCAACCCAGAAACGAAATACCAGAGCATGCAATGGAAAAAATAGAATTCACCTTTGTCAAAAAAAAAAAAAAATACAAAAAAAAAAAAAAAAAAAAAAAAAAAAAAAAAAAAAAAAAAAAAAAGCACACATCTCACCTGCAATTCAAGACCATGCTTGTGTGTTTCTTCAATCACAAGGAGATAAGATCACTATGAATTCATTGCACAGGATAAAGAGTGAATCATCAGGGTTATCTGGAAATGCTGACAAGGTTATGGGAATCTGTTCAGAGGAAAGAACCGAACTCTTGCCTTACGAGTGGATTCTCCACCATGACAGTGCCCCTGTGCATGACGCGTTAAAGAGTTTGTGAGTTCCTGGCTAAGAAATCCATTATAAAAATGGACCATCCACCTTATTCACCTGACTGGTAGATAATAGTGCTAAGGTTAAGAACATATGGACCTATAACTCTCTATTCCATGTCTTCATAGCATGGTGCTTAATTAAGAAGTGAGGCAATTTTACCTTCACCTTTAAAGAATGCCACTGGAAATTTTGTGTACTGCATTACAAAGTACATACTGTTCCCAATTTTGTCTGTACTGAGACAGTCTGAAGGGTACACAGTAACGCAGTTGGTTGACGTACTATGCTGCAGGCCGGAAGGTCACAGGTTTGACTTCTGATGAGGTCACTGGATTTTTTCAGTTGACCTAATCCTTCCAGCCGCACTATCACACTGGGGTTGACTCAGCCTCTAACAGAAATGAGCACCAGGAATCTTCCTGGGGAGTAAAGAGTGGTCAGTGTGTAAGGCTGACAACCTCATCGCCATCTGTGAGAGGACTGTCTAGAAAATGTGGGAGCCTTGAAGGCTCACAACCCTATGGGCCTCCACGGCCTGTCACAGGGTAGCTTTTAGCTTTGTTTACCTTACTCTGACAGTCAATAATTAAATTGAGGCAGAACTCAAATCTGATTGATAACACCAGATATACCTGAACTCCTTTTAGGAAGATCAGCACATCATCATTCACATGAAGTGACTGGTATTAACGCCCAAGCTAATCCCTATGAAAATGTGCTTAAGAACTACTGTTACACATAAAACAGCCAGCAGTAGTAACACACTGCAGCTTAAAGATTCTTTACCCTCCTACGCTCAGTCCGTCGAATGTGTCGCCAAAGAATCCACAGCATCTGACCATCAAAAGCATCAGGATCTCGCTGGCGGTCATCTTCACGGCCCTTGTAATTAGAAACCACAGCCTGAAACAGGAGTTAGTTGTGTAACTGACAGGTTCTCTCCCTTTGTTCTGCTGAGCCTCTGCAATGCGCCTGTAGCACTAAATGTGTGACATACAGAAACATCTCAAACTGTCTTCATCTAGTGTGTCCCAGAAATAAGTGCAGAAAATTTGAGGACTAGTACTATGGCCCAAAATAATAAAAACGTTTACATAACGAACCAGAGCTATTCAAAGGTGTTCCAGCAACAGTAGGATTAGAACTGTAGTTACAAAAGCAGCATATGCCAGGGACACTTTTGAAGGAAAATGGAGCCTTAAGTGGATGCCTCTCATCACTACCGCCTTCTCCATTCAGAAATGAAGCACACAACCTCTTGGTGTTCCCTGCAATTAAGTTGCAAAAGTAGCAATACCCCATGAGTAAACGTCTTGTCTGTCCAACGTTAAGAACAAAAAGAGTTCTGTTCAAGAAACAACCCATGACTTGACTAAAAATGTAGTTTTACATTCTAGTGACTGGCGGTAACAACTATTGTTAGGGTTACAGTAGATGTTCAGAGTGTTGGCCTTGCACTGCCACACAAGCTACAGTCTGACAATGCTTGCACTGATGGATGTGCTGCATACTGAAGAACAGCAATTCTGAACATGCTACAACAGCTCCTCTGGAGTACCCAGTGCTGAAGCATACATCTTCCTTCTTTTTTTTTATGATGTCCCCAAAGGAAAAAATCAAAGGGATTTAGGTCTGGTGACTGACTTGACTGGGATACTGGTTCCTACCTTCCTATCCATCACCCAGTGTACGCAGTCTCAAACTTAAGTGGCTTGGGACAATACCATGCATAAACTACATGTTTTGTTAAATATCCAGTGGGCACAGTATCCAATAACTCTGACAATGTGTTCCAAAAGATGTCAGTAATAATATATTGCAGCATCCTGTTGCAACAAACTGCACTGATTCACCGTCTTACGCGGCCATAAACTACATAAAGACATTACATTAAAGTACACAGTATTACAAATATGTGTAACCACAGCTTGATGTATTTAAGATTATTCCATATTACTCAAAAGTCTCTAATAATTTTTCAGCTCTGAATTCATGTATAATCTTAATTCTGAACTGATGTATTTACTTTTAACTCTTAAATTCATGCGGTTTATTTAATAACATTTCCAATATCTCAAGATTATATAGAGTTGAGTGACAGAAAGATATATAAGTAGTGGAAGGAAGTGGTTGTGACATAATTAGAGAGATTATCCCAGCACTTGCCTAAAAGACTAAGAAAAACTACAACAAATGTCAGGATTATGGTATCCCAGCCAAGATTCAAACCAGGCACCTTCCGAATTCAAGCCAGAAGTGCAGCCTACTTGTTTGATTAAATCCATGTGACAATCTCTCATTCTGGAAATGACAAAATAATTTTTTGGCCTCTTTCCTTATATGGAAAAAGTAAAAATTGGCTTATGAGGTCATCTTGTGTTGCTTGTGTGTCTGCAAAAGTATCCACTCCCCTAACAACTTCAGAATGCCCAAACCAATCTTTATGAAACCTGGTATGTATTATGATGCCACCTGGGGCCATCACAATGGCATACTTCGTGAATCTCTCCCATCACTAACACCAACACTGCAGCCTCTCATCTTGCTGAGGTAATAACTTTAATTTTTTTTAATGCCTCAACCGATCATCATGAAAACTGGTCTGTATATCGTCTCAACTGTGTACTTCAAAACACTTTCTATCAGTATTACCAATACTGAAGGCTCCCGAACTGCTGAGGTAAGAAACCTCAATATTACTTGAATACCTGAATTGATCATCATGAAACTTCATATGAGTACTGCTGCATACGAGGCACATTCAACAATATGGCTCAAAATACTTCCCTTCAGCAATATCGAGATAATGGCCCTGCTGAAATTTGATGTGGAAGCCATAAGTCTGATATTGTCTGAACACTCATTTCATGGATGTAACACCCACTACAGTCCTTTCATACTGTGAAAAATTAAGCTATAAAAATACAGTAAACATAAATTTACATTCCCAAAACACTAAAAGACTATGCCTTCACAACTGAAAAGAATTTAATTAAATACTTATGTAATGGTACATACTGTAATACCTGTTACCAAGGAACTGTGTAATCATGATTTAGAGAGAATGCCACGCAGCCATATAGGAGCCAATGAAACTGTAGTGGATAAGCAAGAGCATAAGACAGTTTCTGTGGCGTTTTGTGGTTTGATATCCAACAACTTCACCACTTTAAATTATATTATTACATGTGCAATTCATTTCATATAAAAATCAAGTTCGTGATATTGTTTTATTTACTTAATTATGCATAGATACTGAAGTGTTTTTTCTACTTGTACAAATACTGAAATTGTAGTGACAGGAAAGTAGGTGATTAGTTCTTCAGGGAACCTCTTGTTCAACTTTGAATTTACATCATAATCTTTAGTTTGGCAGATAAAATGTTTTTCTTTCTCTGCTTTTTAATCTTTCATCCTTGACATGTTTCAGTCTTAGAGACCATCTTCAGAAGGAAACATGTCAAGGATGAAAGATTAAAAAGGAGAGAGAAAAAACATTTTATCAGTCACAGTGGACAGAGTCGATTAAACTTCTGTAATATTGGTAGTGTGAGAAACCAGGATGAACCAACTCAACTTTAACTTGGCATTCTTGTCATAATTTTTAAACTTCAATCACAGGCACCAAAACGAATAAAATAAAAGAAAAAAAAAACAGTCAATATAGGTGACATGTTGAAAGTCACACTTTCACTTTGAAGTTCTGGCTGTGAAATGTTGACACAATTATTTTTGTAACATAGAAGTATGTGGAGGTTATGAAAATTGCCAAATCTGAACCAAGTGGAATTTGAAATCATTGTTGAATAAAACTTTATTAAAGACAGCAGAGTTGGTCAAGTTTTTGTAACCTAAGTACTTACAGATCTGAGACCGGCCATAGCAGGTTCCTGCTCACAGGAAGGCACCCATATTTTGACATCATCATCTAGACCGCTCGTTGCTAAGACAGGGATCTGAGGGTGTGGTTCCAAGCAGTTCACCTGTAACAAACATTCCTTCTCTGTGTTTATTCACTATAACATTCTGATAAACCACAAACATATTTAGTTCCACGGTGCTTCCTCATTATGGTTGGATGCGACCATAGAATTCAAGATATGGACCACAAATTCACCCCTATAGAGATCTGAGATATATATCAAACTTTTTTAAACAAAATATAATATGACAAATTCAGACAAAAAAAATTAAGAAATTATATACTTAAAAAAATATGGAAAACATACATGCATACACCAGTGATGTAGTAGGATATGTAGCTGGCCAACGGCTACTCTATGTGTTTGTATGAGTGTGGTCGAGGGATGGCTTCTAATGTGGTTGGTATTCCAATCTTATGCATTTCAGATTGCAGAGTGTGTGTTGGTTTTAAGTAAAAGTCATATTTGGGAACATAAAATCAATTTTTTTTTAATTCGCTAGTGGGGGGTGGAGTCCATCTGGGTTCACGCAGCATGGTGCCCACTGATTGGCCTATTGTACCTGCACAGGGTGATTATGATGATGAAGAATTTTGGTGGACTGAAGATTGGCAGAGGAAATCAAAGTACTTAGAGAAAACCCGCCCCAACACCACTTTGTCCACCACAAATCCCACTTGACCAAACCCGGGATCGAAACTGGGCCACCGCAGTGGGAAGCCGGCGACTATCCGCTTGAGCTATGGCGCAGCCTTGAGCAAACGATATGTTTCTAGTGTTCAAATTTGAGAGATCATTCAGGGACACAAAGGCAGCTGAATGACCAAATGAGATGCCTTATTGTTCTTACCACGCCATTCTCATCTCCCAGCATCCACTGCACGATGGATTCTGTCCCTTTGTCCCAGAAATATATGTTGCCACAGTCCGATCCGGAGACGATGTACTCACTCTTGGGACCGAAGAAGCTGATTCCTTTCACTGAAACAACATAACCATGCAAATAGAGCAAATTATAAAGGGTTCTGAAAATGGTGTATAACACTCAGAAATACTGGGTTTTTGGACTTTGTCCATCCTCTGGTATTCTAAAACCTACAGAACACACCCTCAGATGAGAAGGGAGACACCTACTTGTTGGGTCCCTTAAAAAAAAGCTAACCTCATTCAGCGGACAACCCATGTAAGGTCAAAGTCACATTGCAACTGATGGTCAGCCAGTCAGTAATTCTTGGTGTCATGACCATATTTTACTGTCTCAGATTTGAAACTTCCCTTTTCATCGCCTCCTACAACTCGCAGGGTCATGGTGGAGGTATTCAATCCCGCCTCCACATGGGTGTCTACTGTAGTCATCCCATGTCAGTTTATCTACAGCTTTATAAACACCTGAGACCAGACTTTGTCAAAGGGAGATAACAAACAAATCTGTAATAAGAACTGTGATAACGCATTCACGGACCTGAAACTAAGATAGAAAGCAAGGTGAAAATTTTATGCAACAAACTTAGCCAACAAACCAAGTCCATGAAAACCACTGCATAAGATTACACAATTTTTGGAAACCATTCTGCACCTACCACTAGTATCATCTGTGGAGTAAAAATTCTGTGAGTTGGCAACCTCATAGCTGATAAGGGGGATCCAGATGGGAGAAGTGGCCAAACTGGGTTGGCTGATAGGATTTGTTAAGCATATTGTATGGGCCGATTCCTTGTATTTCCTATACCTGCTGTTACTTTCAATTTCCAAAATCCTAGCTTCATCCCTGCCTACCCTATGACCCTCTTCATAGGCATCTTGGGCTAATTTTGACTTCTCTAGAAGACCCTCTTTGAGACTGTGCCCATGTTCATGGATTTGCGTGGCTACAGGTGTGCCTGTTTTGCCAATGCAGCTTCTGCTACATTCACAGGGAATACCGTAGATGCACTGTGCCGTCTGTTGCGGATCTCTTTCTGGCCTGGTTTTCATGAGTGAACTCCTAAGAATGTGTTTAGTTTTGTATATTGTCCCAATGTTATATCGATTCCTTATAAATTTGAATTTCTGTGAAACACCTTTCACATACAGGACAAAAGACTTTTCACCCGTATTTGGATGACTGTTTCCCTTGGAATTAATGACCGAGTCAATGAAAACTTGGTGTTAACCGTTGACCTGAAGATCACATCTCAGGCTACTAATTTCATTAAACAGATCTTGTTGTTCTTAGCATATGGTGGAAGCTCTATTGCGAAGATTCTGAATTAGACCCCTTCTTACATGGGGCGGATTATTAGATTTTAAGTTGAGATATCAGCCAGGGTGGACAAGTTTTCTGTAAATTTTGGTGGACAGTGTCGTCCCTTTCCTGATGACCAGGACATCCAGAAAAGAAATCACTGTCAGACCCTATTTCCATAGTGAACTGGATGGATGGCCTTAAACTAGTGAGGTGGTTGAGGAAATTCTGTGACCACTCTGGACCATGAGGCCAGACCACAAATGTGTTCTCAGCATACCAGAACTACAGTGATGATTTGTGCTGTGCCCAGTCAAGAGGCAATTTCTCAAAATGCTCCATGAAGATGTTACTCACGATGGGTGATAAAGGGCTTCCCTTAACCGTGCCATCTTTCTGATGGAAGAAATTATCATCCACCTGAAAATATGTTACTCTCAAACAAACTTCCAGCAGTCTGATAATGGCTCTGACCCGCAAGACAGACCGTTCCACTGTGTCAGTGTTATGGAGCGAATTTCTGATGACTTGTACGGCTTCATCGACTGGTACATTAGTCAAAAGCCAATGAGAGTGTCCAGAGATTGAAGGTTTAGACTTCAAGAAGTATATGAAGTGGCCCAAATTCTTTATGAAGGATTCTGATTTTCCAGCATGAGGACTCAGTATCTTATGGAGAAAACCAGCCAGGGCGTAACTGGAGGAACCAATAGAACTCACTACAAGCCTCACAGGAATGTCAGGTTTGCGAATCTTGGGAAGACCATATAGACGTGGAGTTCTGCTGTGGTATGGGTTCAGCAGTATGGGTTCAGAAGAGCAGTTCTGTGTTCAGAAAGGCGTTGCTGTACTCTTCTCTCAACCTTAGCTGTAGGATCTTTGGGCAAGGGTTCACAAGCCCCCCAGACTCTAGCAAAGTGTTCTCTGTATCGTGTACCACAGTGATCAGATAAATATAATTAATAATGAAGGTACCTGTAGCATTGTTCCTATGACCTTCAAATCGATGTATGAAATCGGAACCATCAGGATGTCTTGTATCAAAAAGGTAAATATCTTCATCATTGTATGAGCCAAGAATTTCTGTTCCATCATAATTGAACACAGCACATGTGACATGAGTGAAAGTGCCTGAGTTTGTCTGTAAGCAAAACAAGAAAGGTGAGTGAGGTATAAGCAGAAGGAACAGCTGTCCCAGTGACCTGTCATGGCGTGACAAAAATATGATGACAACTGTTAACAAACATTACATTCAAGAGTTACCATATTTGTTTGTCACATGTCTCAACACAGAACATGGCCAAAATCATAAAAGAATGTAAGATTAGATAACTTCATAGTAGCATAAATTATTTCTGTTAAATAATTAACCAACCAACCCACTAGCCAAGTCGCTCAGCTTGTGAGGAAATTCCTTGCCATTTACAGAATCCAAAGACTATGACACAGCTCAGGCAACAAGTCACTGGTTTCTCACTGTGGAGTCCTTGGCTCAAGCCCAGGTGATTTCACATGAGACTCACGGTGGACAAGTGGACTGGAACAGTTTACTTCAGAGTTTCTGCAGTTTTTCCCTGCTAATCATTATTCTACCACTGTTCCACATCTATCTATCACTGCTTCCCAAGACATGCCATAGCACACTGTAATGTCCTTAGTCTCTAAGTTGCAGGCTTCACCTCTGACCCAGCACATGACTAATTACAGAGCAAGGAAATTAGTTATGGAAGGAAAAGGTTCATTACTGTGTTTACAAGAGCCCACTGACAGGTACTATCTTAAGTCAGATAAATTCATTTCCCAATCTTTCAAGATCCACTGAGCAAAGCTGAAACAATGAAATCACATCTCTGAGTATGACTACTGCTACTTGTTGCCTAGAATTTACTTCGTGTCACTCTGCAGCAGACATGTCAATGTATAGCAGATGCCTCTCTTATTTATTTTTGCATGCTCATGTAGGAAGCACATATAAAGTATAGTGGCTTTTGTAAGAACAGTTTGCTATTGTCAACTCAGTGTACTGCAGAAAGCATCTTTCTGTTCATTTGAAAACAGACACCATGCTACACTATCTAAGACACTGTAAGACACACAGCAATTGGTTTTGGTCTCATTCCATTCCCTGTTCTAGCAAATAACTGCATGCCTTATTATTATTATTATTATTAGAGGGGGTGGGTTTCCCCATGCACTTAGACCAGTTATTGGTCCACTGTGTGTCCCCCTTTAATTTCTACTGTCGCCATACCCTACCGGTACTGGTGCGTGCTATCAGCCCCGTTCAGCCAACGAGGTTGGCCGTCAGTACCTGATATTTCTCCCATCTACCAGAGGCATTGGAAACTACTTGGGCAGGAAATTGTTGCCTAATTTTGCTCAGAGGTCTCCTAGAGACATGAGGATCTTTTATGTGCCGTAAATCTGCAACACAGTACCCATGGCTTAAAGTCCTTCCCGGAGGACTTGTTCCCTGAATCTTTCCCCCCTTAAAAATTCCACAACCTCTGCCGGGTTTCAACCCACATACCTTGAGTCATGAGGTGAGAACATTAACCCTAGACTACGGAGGCTGCAACTGCATGCCTTACTTTTTCATCTGCTGATGATGTAGCTACTTTTGATAACTGCAGTTACATGCATGAAACAGAAGCTGACTGCAAGAACTGCTATGTAGTAGGAGGGAGTTTCAGTGCCAATGGCTGAAGCCACAATCTGTATGACTTAACTACAAGTGGTAAATTTGTATCAATTCATATATAAAGGTAGAAAATTGTGGAATAATAACGCAGAAAATATTACGTGCCTCCATGGAAAATTTAACTGTCTGGGTGATCTCGCATGTGGGATATACAGACCCTTGGTTAAGACTATCTGCCTACACAGAAAAAGGTAATAGGTATAAGACTGGTTGTGATTACCGCATCAAAATTTTTCATGAAGAAAACTTACCAGATGCTTAGGGCAAAACCTTTTGAGCTGAGTGTTGTCAGACACCTTCCTTTTATCATAAATACGTATATAATTGTCTCGGCCACTAACACAAAACTCATTGTTATTTAGAGGATTCATATGAATGCTGTACAATGGTATCTTCCTTTCACCATCTTTTACATAAAGAAGCCTGAAACAAAAAGACAACTGAAGTACTTTAAGAACATCTCAATTACCACAAATATGTAAACCAGTTATTGTAATAGAGGATCTGTGAAGAACCAAGTACAGTGAAACCCCTACATGTAGGTATGCATAAGTCTCAAATTTTTGATACCAAATTGAGAACAACATTTTTATCTCAGTTCAAATGATGATTTCTCAGTCTCCAATGTCAAGAAATTTCATGACTGCTTTTGCTTCCAGCAATGGTACATAATCTGTGTGATCCATCAGAACTCTAATGATTGGCAATGACAGAATAAATCAATCAGTCAACAAACTGTTTCTCTTATTGTCCTTGGTGAAAAAGGATGTAACCTTAGAAATGATTTGTTTTAAAATATTGTTAGATAAAATTCGTCACTGAAAAAGGATCTGACAACAAAAAGGGACAAATAATAGTAAACTTTTGTGCCTTGTCAAAATTGGCTGGTGATATGTATATTGTGATTATACTCAACAATCTGACACTTTCTGCTCTTGTCCTAAATTGAAAGTCATTCTTCCACATCCCTACCTCCTGATATTCCCATGTGCAGTATTTTCCTGCTTATGGTGTGCCATGATCCCATTCATAAATCCCATATAAATGTATGTATCTACTGCTTGTAGTGTTCCTATTTTAGTGGTTTCCTACTTATCATAATGCCCAGAAATTTTATCACTTTCCCAGTGGTGTCCCAGTACACCTGCCAAGAAAGCAGTGACAATTATTCCACTTCAGGACCATGAACGTGAGACAACTCCTAATTAAAAAACCCACAATTTATAAGATCCGCTACTCATGTGGCAAGGTGTACATCAGCCAAAGGGCCGCCAGATATCCACCAGGATTTCAGAATGCATCAGAGAAACCAGACTGTAGAATTGTTGATCAGCAGTAGCTAAACATTCAGCAGAGTCAAAACACAGCACCAACTGACAGCCACTGAAATAGCAGTACACCCCCATAACTTTAATGGTGAAGATGGATGCACACGGATTAAAGTCTGGCTTTAACTCGTCTCCACCAAACCCACCATCGAATGCTCTTCACCAAGCAATCACTGAAGTACCTTCCTGTTCATGTTAGGTGAAAACATAAAAACTGATGACAGAAGGGAAAGGGGAAATTCTTCCATCACCTTGCATCCTAAGCATGGAATTACTGAAACATTCTTCCTGCTTATCTCATGGCCACCTAGTTACCAGAGCTGTTTTTGTTAATTATGCAGCTGCTGAAATGTTTTTCCTCCTCATCTTGGGGCCATCTAGTTACCAGAGCTGTTTTCATTAATTATGCAGCTGCTGAAATGTTTTTCCTCATCTCGGGGCCACCTAGTTACCAGAGCTATTTTCGTTAATTATGCAGCTGCTGAAACGTTTTTCCTCCTTATCTCAAGACCACCAAGTTACCAGAGCTGTTTTCATTAATTATGCAGCTGCTGAAATGTTTTTCCTCATCTCGGGGCCACCTAGTTACCAGAGCTATTTTCGTTAATTATGCAGCTGCTGAAACGTTTTTCCTCCTTATCTCAAGACCACCAAGTTACCAGAGCTGTTTTCATTAATTATGCAGCTGCTGAAATGTTTTTCCTCATCTCGGGGCCACCTAGTTACCAGAGCTATTTTCGTTAATTATGCAGCTGCTGAAACGTTTTTCCTCCTTATCTCAAGACCACCAAGTTACCAGAGCTGTTTTCATTAATTATGCAGCTGCTGAAACATTTTTCATCACCTCCTTTCACTCACCACATGGATGCTCCCAACTGGTTAGCATCCCGCTCCTCTGCTTGTCTACCCATGGCTTCACCTCTGACACACTGACTAATGCAAGAGCTACATGAGAGCTAGTAAAACCTCTCCAAATTCATTAACCCTGAAGATGGTAACTGCAAGGCTTGCCAAAACGTTGGCAAATCTTCAAAATTCAATGTGGACTAGTCATGGAAGCCACAGCCACAAAGTGACAGGTGCATTTTCTTGTTATGAACAAGATTTGAAGTTTTGGCACAGATTCCACAAAATCATGCACAATATCATATCACATATTACAAACTTGTCCTCAAGAGGAAGTAGGAACAGATTTACATAAGATTTTAAGGTGTATAAAGGAGCAAGATTATGTACTTCTCTGGTTTTGTTTCGCGAACATCAACACTCATGACTAGTGCATCTTCGCCTGAGCTCAGAAACACGTGGGGTGTTTCCTGCTGTATGGCCAATTTATGAGCTGGTCCCCGATGCTGAGCTAAGCGACGGGTTGAATGGCAGACACCCATTGAGGACAATTCTGCCAGACGGATTTGTCCATCACGTCCACATGACACAATATGAGTGTCTCCAGTTAAGGGAAGAAACCTGGCCTGAAAAAAATGTTCATACCTAAGTACATCCATTTTCCTTGCGATTTAAAAGCAGTGTATTCTAATGCTATTAGAGTAATTACTCTGAATACTGTAAAGTTTACTATACACAGTACTACCATATCAGAGACACCAGCATCCACCTGAATTTACTACGAAATGTTCCATAAACCTCCAAAATTCTAAAATGCCAGTTTAAAACTTCATTCAAGCAGTTCTGGAATGAACTTACAATACCCACTTTCCCTGAAATGCTTCAATGAATACAGTGAGGTTAGCAAGATTTATGAAGTAATAACTACATAATTAGTAATCCACTCCAGATCACAATTTCCAATAGTGCAGAATAAGACCACAATAAATCTGTCAGATATAACTTTAAAATTCTACACCATTGTCATGCTTGCGTTACATATAATAAATGTTTAAAATGGATTCGCATGTAAATTTAACATTTACTGAAAAAAAAAAAAAAAAAAAAAAGAGGAGGCTGGGTGGGTACCACTGCATTACAAAATTTAATCTGCTTAGCTTTATTTGTTACCACCATGAAAACTGCATACATTATTTATATATCAGAGTAACATGCTGTCTCAACCTTCATGGCAGAAAAGTAAACTGCTGGTGTCAGAAAATGGAAACAGGTCAAGAACCAATTGCAGGAGCAAACCACTGTAAAATTAAATTCTGTAGCAATAAAAGTGGCCACTCTTTACAGTGCCATAGGATTTCACTCTATATTGCTCTTAGCCCTAGTTCTCATCCTCCCTTTCACATATCACTGATCTCAGAACCTCACATGGCTTACTGTTCCAGGCAGCAGGTTTCTCCAGACCACATCTTCATATCCCACGGCTCTGAGGTCATTTCTTTTAATGCTTTCTCTATTTTGAGAAAATAAAAGTAACATCATGAGATCACCTTGCTGTATCTATGTCTGTATGTGCATTCCCCACCTATTGTTGCTAGGCAACAGCTCAATAAACACGTTCACAGATCAAAGAATACAAGCGAAACAATAGAAGAATTGTTGGATGCATTTTTCCCCATGAGGTCCATGTCGTATCAAAGGAAAGTAGGCACTTAGTTCTCCCAGCACTTCTTGCAATATTACCCTTCCTTCCCCACCTCATCATCTTATTCATTAAGTCACACAAAGAATGAAAACACCCTCAGCATCTCTACCAATATCACAAACAGTGCATGCCATAAACTGACCTGAAATACATTACTCCTATGACCACTGTCATAGAAAACTAGGAACTTGCCAAGCGCCCAGTCCCACACAACAATGCTGAGATCATCAGAGCCACTTGCAAGCAGAGTGCCTGAATTGTTGAAGTGGAGAGCATTCACACAGCCATGATGAGCCTCCAGCTTGTACATCAATTCCAAACGCTGGACCGAATGCAGAGACCCATAGCAGCGCTGCTGGAACAGTTCTGCACCTTGGCAACGGCCACTCACGCCTTTCTGCCTGAAGACAGAAATCATTCCATTCATTAACCTTCTTACTTCTATCAAGAGGTACCTCTGGGTCAAGACAGTGTGGCAGTACATGAAGGCCAAAGCCACTAAAATAACAGATGAACAAGGCAGTTCAAGTGGTAACGCTTATGACATCTGAGACATGCCTGGTTTGAATTGCAGCTTGCACCTGTAACTCAGGGTGCTCATGCTTCTCCTCAGTCCCTACTGGTGAATGGCAGGTAAGCACTTCAATCAGACCAATCACTCTCTTCAACATCCTTTCTAATTCATGATTCCCTCATCAACCTAACATTTGATGCTGTATTTCTGAACAGAGAGATGGTGGGGTTAGAACAACACTAATCATGCAGACATAGTTTTAGGCAACTAAAAATATTAACAATGTATTCACTATACATTAAAGAAACCATCTTATATGCAAAAGAAAAGGGTAACTGCACTGTAAATTAACCAAAATAGTATTTCTATTGTTATATTTCCTATATGTCAATATTTATTATCATTATTGTAATTTCTACAATATACAACTCAGATGGGCATATCCTGTACAAATGTATTTTGATCTCCAGGATGAGTAAAAATGAATGAACAGCATTGTTACATAAATTGCAAATAAATATGAACTGAAAGACAACATGTGTAGCATTGTTTCTATCATTAGTTTATTTGATAATGTCTCTTCATGCTGAGATTACACAGCAGTAAATGGGGGGGGACTGAATGTGGAAAGATAAATCAGGAATTTTGTGCTTTTTAGAGCAGGTGAACAGGTGACACCACACTTGGATAGATGGTTAGTGATGCTGCAGAAGAACACACGGTTTTCTCCCAACCTGAAAATGGGAGAACCATATTTCTCGAAAGTGCTGATACCTACCTACCAGAATCATGACTCGTGGTACGCGGGTTCAAATACCCGGCAGAGGTCATCGAATTTTTAAGGGCGGAAAAATTCAGGGAAAAAGCCCTCCGGGAGGGACTTTAAGCTGTGTGTCCCGTGTCGTAACTTTACGGCATGTAAAAGAACCTCATATCCCCAAAGGGGATCACTGAGCCAAATTCCATGACGTTTCCCGCCCAACAATAGTCTCTAAGGCCTCCGATAGATGGGGGAAGCATTATAGACACCACTAAGCAAGTGGCCAAACTCGCTTGCTCGGCGGGACTGATGGTACGCACCATTTATCGGTAGGGTATAGAGACTGGTAGAATATCATAGAGGGAAGCACAATAGATCAAACTGGTCGCGGTGCATGGGGAAGCCCACCCTCTCTAAATAATAATAATAATAATAATAATAATAATAATAATAATACCTATGTCACAAAAAAAAAAACTGTGGTTTTAGCCTGCAAGTGAACTACACCGACCAAGCGACTGCTGCCTGTCTGCAAAATTAGTGCCAACTTTATCTGATAGAGGGTGTCGCGTGGTCAGGGCAATGAATCCCCACGGTTGTTAATTTAGGTTTTCTAGAACAGAGTCATTATTTCCTTGAATTAGCTCCTCAACTATCCTCACAAGGCTGAGTGAACCCCGTTCCAGACCCACTACTTCTCAGAAAATCTGGTAGCACCAGGAATCGAACCCAGACCTCTGGATCTGTAGCCAGGAACTCTGACTACTAGACCACAGAGGTGGTCAGTCATAAACCTAAAAAAATTGCAGTACAAATCAATTGGAAGAACTGCAGAAACAGTCATGACTGTTTTCAACCTAACATTTGCCTAGAGGGACTAAGAAAAACAATCGAACACCTCAGTCAAGAAAGGTTCAGATCTGTGAGTCTGTCAATATATTACAGCTGTGATAACCATCATGTTACATTAGTAACATTATTCAGTAGTAAAACATGAAACTTGAGAGCAGACAAATGAGAGAAAATCTCCTAAGAAAACATGGAAAACACTGTAAATAAATCCCATTCCTCCAAGTCAACTTCCCCTAGTTCAAATTCCAGGTTGTTCTGTCTTAAGAAATTTTGGTTATTTCCATATTAATGAGTGAACGAAGTAACCTTAAAATTTATTGCCATGTTGTTGGCCATGTTACAACACGTGTAGCTGATATAATCATCAAACCACTTCCTGAAGTCTGTTCATGAGCACACCCACATATATAACAAACAGTTGTGATGAAGCAGAGGTGACAACTATTCGCAAATCAACTGCCAACATGCATGTTCACCTTCGTCTTTCCCTTTTCCTGGTACACTGCCAAAAACTCGAACACCAATGCATAGCTTCACTGAATACTTATCCTCATACAGGCACTCCTCAATTTATGCAATGGATGTGTTCCAAGAAACAAACACGATTTCCCCCTCCTCACCTCTCGACCCTCCTCTGCCACCCACATAACCATCCGCATCTTTGTCCCCACCTGTCCTGAGTGGCCAGCAAAGCAATTTGCATTGAAGTATGTGCTATTAAGTGACAATGCTCTGAATTAATCGAATGTATTAAAATTAATCACTGATCACAGTGGCTACATGGTCTAAGGCATGAACTGTCTTTGTTTGCTCGAACGCTGGGATTGTGGGTTCGAAACCTACTCAATGCATGGATGTCTGTGTGAGCAGTTATTCTGTGTTTGTGTTGTCCTGTGTGTAGGTAGAGGCAGAGGCCTTGTGACTGGCTGATCATTCATCCAAGGAGTCCTATCATCTGAGTAAAAAAAGATTATGAAACTGAAGAGGCTAGGGCCCAGAAAAGAGCTGTAGAGCTATTGACGAATGAATGGATGAATGAATTAAAATTAATCATTTTTGTAGCACTTGAATATAATGAGTACTTCACTTGCACTTGCTTGATAAAATTCCATACCTTAAAGAAATGATCTCTCTCGCTTGTGAAAAGCACATAACATGAACACATATGTAGTCAGATAAAACACTCACACAGACATAATCTGTCTCCTATTATTTATATAGACTAGTTGAAAATTCCTAGATTTTACCTTAGCCAGAGAAACTGTAGAGATGTAAGATTTCAGGTTTTCACGGCAGTGACTATGAAGAAAACAGTCTTCTGGGATGTGGCGCTGTGTAGATATTGTGTTAACCGACGTCCGGAGAAACGTATCGCCTTCATCTTCAGGGTAGAAGAAAAAAGAAAATCCGTGAGCAAGGAACCAGCGTGAGCAGGTGCTCTGTGCTCTTCTACCCTGAAGATGGAGTTGATACGTTCCTCCGAAACATCGGTTAACATAACATCTACATGGCGCCACATCCCAGAAGACTGCTTTCTTTAAACTGTAGAGATGTTCCCCTCACTACAACAGGTAACAGAGAAGTGTGTTTTGCTTAACCCTTCCCATGCAGCTGTAGTTCAGTATTTCATGGCACACCTTGCTAGTTAGGTGCTGACTTCTCACTGTAGTTAAACCCAGAAGAATTCATCAAAGATTCAGAGCGAATGAAGTGGCTCTGGAGCAGGGTTATCTCTAGCTTCTCTGGTTTTCTCCTGCTAATGTATTTCTTGAAGCCTTTCTAATATATAATGAATTCTTGCAGGGAACAGTATAAATATTATATTCAGTATGAATACCAACCTCAAGTTTGGCAGTTTATCAAAGGGGGGTATACTATCACGGAATTAGAGATTTTAATCATCTTCCACCTAACATAAAAAGCCTAAGCAATGAAGTGAGATTATTTAAACTGACCCCCAAAAGATTTCTTCTTTCTAATTCATTCTATTCCTTAGATGAATATGTTAATTGTACTTTTAACTAATATAATTATTATATCTGATTCTACACATAATAATCACATGTTTTTAATTATAATTATATGTATTTGTGACTTTGTTAATTATGTACTCAGATATTTTATGACTCTTTTATTGTTTATTTCTTGACAATTTCTATACCTATTGGTTTTGTAAATGAGTTAGGTTCTAGGGAGTGTGGATGATGATGATTAACTCCACAGGGCAGAATTCCTCTACAGAAGCCATCAGTCGCTCATATACTCAAGATTTTCCCCACATTTTATGGAACCCAAAAGGTTCCATGTTCACCAGAGGCTGATAGAAGCTTTTCACCTAATGATTTTTATGAATCTTTAAAACAATTAACTGCCTGTATCAGCCCCTATATTTGAACAGTGATGAAACCTGACTTCAACAACAACATGAACCTAATCTAAAGTAACATAACTAATGTGCGGCTCACATAATTCGCAATAGCTTTACCAAGTGAAACACATTTGGAAGAAAGGGCAGCAATATAAACAAGAAATAATGAACAAGAATAAAAATGACATACCTATTAACAACTTCTTGCATAACAAACCACTTATGTTTGGGTTTCTGCTTCAGTAAGACGCTGGGCGTGATTTCTTCTTCCTCAAGTTCAGTGTCTGAAAGTTCAGTCTTCCTCTCCTCACTACCAGCAGAATCCGACTCCTCACTTTCAGAGGCTCGTGAACGTTTCCTGCAGCTGTCTATACCTGGAGTTTCTAGACCGGCTGTTTCTTTACTAGACTCTTCAACTTCCACATCATCAGGAGCTGAACTGCTCTCCTGATGACCAGAATCGGGGCTACTCCTTCCTTCTCCTGGCTTTGGTGAATTGTGTACAGATTCAACAGTTGTACTTTCATCCTCATCATCAGAACTTCCCTTGCCTACACCTCTACCTTTCTTAATGCGATAATTTCTGCTTCTAATCTTCGACTTCAGTTTTGGAAAAAATGCAGTTCCATTTGCAGAACTACTACCATCTTCCTGAAGCCGCCCATTAACTGTCTTCTGCTTTTTAGATGCATCATCATCAGAACTGTTTTCAGATTTTTCCACAGATATACCACTGTCATCCTTCTTGATGTGTTGTTTAGTTCTTGTCTCTTCATTTCCTACAGCTTCGGCAACATTTACTTCCATTTTATCGCCAGATTCTCCAACTGGCTCTCCTGAAGTCAAGCTTCCAGCTATATTCTCTGTGGCCACTTTCTCACTGTCTGTATCCATTGTTTCATCTGATTTCGTGCTTGAAGCCATTTTTGATTAGTAAATATTAGACAAATTCTAATAAATTGTTATCTCAAATATTCTTTTGTGTTCGTTTCATAGTGATGTCCACTATTTGCCATTGGACCTAAAAGTTAGAAACACATACACCATCATTCAACTATATTAGCAAAAAAAAAGAAAATTTCCTTTCATTAGGAATATGCAGCTTCACTGCAATAAGGAATTATGAAAATTGTTGCTATACTGCAGTACAGAAATCCCTTGTTTAACATGGTTTTGATTGTACAAGTTCTATATTTAGATATCCAGTCTGCACAACACAAGTCATGCTTTATCCACAGGTCAAAGCTGAGGCCACAGAATATCTATGCCCTATGCCCTACACCCAGCTTCACAGCTATACCATGACTTTAACTGTAAGAACATCTGTGAGAGATGAAACAAATCCTTTTGTGGAAAAGTCTTAAATTCAAAGAGGGCTGGAAGGTTTATTTCTGCCTTGCAATGGAAAATGAAGAAGCCATTTGTTATGAGTGACTACTTAACACTACTGTCAGTCCCCAGCCAGTCCACTACTCAGAGAATGAAGTCTACCCTGACTCTGAACTTACAGATGTCCCTGAGGATAAATACAGCCAGTATCTATAAAGTACTAAGTTTAGGTACAGTGCAGCATGTACTTGCCTCATTATTACCATGTTACCCTAATTGGTACAACATATAATATATATAGGCCCTTTCTTATGGTCCATAAGTACATCCCAGTTTATTTTGAAACCTAGGCTTTTGTATACCCATGTTTCAGATGACTATTTCTCTTATTCCTGTAACAAGCACTTCTACAACACGACCTTAATATCCACTGTACGACTCAAGGACGCAACCTCCCCATTAAATAAGAGATAACTGTGTAGTGACACCAATCACCAGCATTCTCATATTTGCGTTTCACGTCAGACATGTTTTCATTCTTAAAATAGAAGCACATTAATTTGAATCAGGCGTAGAAAGCACCAAAATTCAGCATTTTTAACCTTTCAAAAGTACGCAGCTGACAACACACTGCATACCTGGCAAATTGTTCGCATCAGTCGTATTAAGTATATATTAGCTTATCCCTGACACTGTACACTGTCACAACATTAATTACTCTTTCGTTCCCTCTGGCTTTCGTTGTAATTTCTGAACAGCTGATTCAACACCATCTCTGGGTCAACCCAGGATTACCAACCCGACCAATAAACCGGTCCCGATGCAGCACGCCGGACGCTGATTGGTCTTGTGGGGTAGTTAGGTCGTTACCGGGGTGAGTGCGTTTTAAATTTAAATGATCGAAGGCGTCGAAGGTGCTTACGGTACTGGCACTCGGTAACTCGGTAATACTGATCATACTGATACAGTGTTGTAAGACGTAGAAGTAAATTGGGTTATTCGGGTAGGTACAGAAATGTAGTATATGTCAATTTGGTTTGATACTCGAAGTTGTGTTTCATCTTTCAATAATGTTTTACATTTTTATAGGCTGTATTGTAATGTAACTTACACAAAAATGACCATAAAACTGGATCCCAAGGAAGTTAAAGCACATCTTCATCGACTAGGATACTGTAACATAACGGGAGAACAATTAAGGGAGTTTATTAAAGGTAATGTAACAACTGGATAATTAAAATGGATGATGGCTGTGGTGTCTTCTTCACTTGGTTTTTCTGAATGGTCCTTCTCACAGTCCTGTACATCTCTGGTGTTCAGGTGTTTGCCAGTCTTCTTTACATTACTTCAGGAAATTTTTGTATGAAGAATATGTGCCATTTCCGCACTTGATTTTTGTAGTGGTTGTGCTATGATCATCTTTACAGACATGTGTTCTGTAAGATACAGAATTTACTTTGTCATATAGTTATTATTAGTGTATCAACGCAAATGCCTAACACACAGAAAGCATCATTGAATTCTTTTTATCATTACTGACACATTATACATTCTATTTTGTACTGTCAGCATAACAAATCTTGCCTGTATAAGGGTTCAGATAATTCTAAGGTCATAAAATCTGTTTTCTTGTTTTTTTAGACTTGAAGAAACTTATTAAATATGATCAGCACCTGTTATGCACATGTAAAGATTCAGCTGAGTTCAGTGAAAGCTCCTACAAAGAAACTTCACTAGAGACACTGAGGACCAGTAACTCAACCTCATCACCCAGTGGAAATGAAAACAGCCATATTGAAAAGTATGGAAGAGATCAGTCTCGCGATACCACAGCACAGAAATGTGTAACTTGTACAAGGTCATTTGCACATAATGTACAGTCAGGTAAGAATCATTATGCAAAGTAGACTGATTGTTAACTTGACAAATTCTTTTCTAGTTGTCATTCTGTAGCATGTGGCATGTGGTGGCATACTTGGTTGAGGCATTATGCTACAAGCTGGAAGGTCGTGGGTTCAAGTCCAAATGAGGTCATTGGATTTTTCAATTGACCTAATCCTTCAAGCTGCACTATGGCCATGGGGTCGACTCAGCCTCTAGCAGAAAAGAGTACAAGGAATCTTCCTGGGAGTAAAGGGTGGCCAGCCAGCGTGCAAGGCTGACAACTTCACTGCCATCCATGAGCTGACTGTCTACGAAATGTGGGAGCCTTGATGTCACACACCCCTTGGGCCTCCTTGACCTGTTGCAGGGACAGCTTTACCTTTCTTTTTACAGTCATTACATTGTTATTGAATTAGTAGTCATGGCCAAATTTAGACTGGAAAAATGAACAGTATACAAGGACTCTTGTCAGTTCCACAGCCTCCAGAAATACAACTTAAACATATTAGTAAGTCAACAAAATCTCTTCAGCCATAGACTTACACTGCCTTTGATACAGATATTTGTAATACTTGTCACTGGTTTCCACTAACTCTGCCATGTTAAATTCAAGCAAGCCAGCACGAAAAAATGAAGCCAGTTGCAATTTTATGATGCTTCATCATGTAAGCATGTTAATCAGGGTGCTGATTTTTGTGGTTCAATTTCGTTGATTTTGTTCAACATTGGTGTTAATTTTTTTACTGAGAAATATTTATGCTAAATCCTCTTAACTCATGGTTATATTCTCATAAACCACAATTTTATATGAAACAGAATGATATAAAGTGGATCAATTTTTGCCTTAAGGAAGTTAAGAAAGAAGTAGGTTATATTTCTTAGACATTCTGTGCCCCCTTAACATGCATTACAATATAAATAATATGAATGTGACAGTAAATACATGTATATTTGGCTATAAATGCATGCAATCAGGTGATGTTTGCAGGTGATGTTTATTTAACATTTAGTGTGGTATTGCTCGATTTTCCAAGGCAATTTATCCCATGAAAACTGTTCGGGAGGTGAAAATTTGTATATTAAAAATGACATTTTCACGTTCTTTTCATGCAAAAGTTGCTGAACTTACAAATTTGTTTGTAGAAGTCAAAATGAAGTTCGTTATGTAAAAAATAGGTACAAATTGACATGCTTTATTGTATTGTAAATTAATAAATTGGGTGTTTGTAAAAGGAGGGTACCTGTGTTGTGGTGACCAATGGCCAAATGTCAACATTAACCATTTGTTTGGGCAAGTAACCCTTCCCTTCGACCATGTTCCTAAAATCTGGGATGAACAATGACATTATAATGAGTTAACACAATATTTTATGGGTCTTTGCTATGAAAACGGTATCAATGTAATAACGAAACAATGTTAACTGGGACGTTAAATGATGATGTTCTGTGTAAGTTTTTACATGGCATTGAGATGAAAGCATGTAGATGGAAGGCTTGTAGTTATGAATTGAAGTTATACATTTTAAAATGTGTTGAAGAAGGTGAAAGTTCTGTATGATTGTTAGGGATGACTCATTTGACTTTCAGCATTTATGTGAAACACAAGGCGAAAATTCTAGAATGAGTGGTAAATTCAGACACTTGCAACATTAATAAACAATCCTGGGCATGGTGTTGTGAGTGTTCAAGTGTGAAACTTTGGATAGATGATGAGATTTAAAACATAAGCTATGATCTTAATAATGAGTTACTCTTTAATGATTTAATATTGTTAACATTTTAGTAATATTATTTATTTTTATAAAAGAATATGAGAGGGTAAAAGGTAAAGTTGTTCCTGTGCTTAACTAATTAAGCACTATGCCATGAAGGCATATGGGGGAGTGGATGTATAGATCCACATTTTCTTGATCTTGGCACTAGCTGGAGGTGTGTGGTCAGCTTCATGCTCCAGCCGCTTTACCCCCGGATTGGATAGGATGGGTGGGCCCCAGAGCCCGTCTGGACAATGTGGAGAAAAGAAAATTCTTGACCCTACCAGGACTTGAATTCTAACCTCTTGGTCATCCAGCCCATAGCCAGTTGCTGTAGCGACTGCGCTATCCTGGCTCAGCAATATGAGAGGGGACACAATAATTGGAATTTTGGGAGCTGCCTCATTTCACTTTCTTACTTCTGTTTGTTATTAGGTGACGGCTCCAGTAGAGCATGTGTGTCGGGTTCTGCAGCTCTACCCAACACAGCAGGAATAACAAAAAAATCAGCACATTTTTCAAAGCAGGAAGAAGCCCAAAAGTTAAAGTCTGTAGAAAACCTTCAAGAATCTGTGAAAGCAAAACATTCATGTGAGTCCTAGTGGTTTATTGTTGATACATTCTCAGAATGGAAACTTGAGAATGTAAGATTTTCCTGAATTGATGGGATTTGAGGTCTTCATGGTGGTGATTATTTTGACTGCAGTCTTCTGGGATTTGATACTGTGTAGTTACCAACATTTCAGGGGAATGTACTGCCTTAATCTTTAGGCAATAGTGAAATGTCTGTAACCTTCCATCAGATTACATAAACATCCAAGAAGACCCCAGTCTTAATTTCAGAGCTTTTGATCATTGTTTTCCAAATTATTTCCATGTATCACCTGTAGCAGTTGCAGAAAATAAGCAGAATTTTTTTTTACTTTCACAGTGCTGCTGTTGATTCAGCTGTTGGACCTTTATGCTGTATGGATGTAGGCAGTGTTGCCAGCATTTTGGAGGCACATGCTGACTCCATCTTGAAATGTGTAGGATGGCGAATTTCTGTGCATATATATATATATATATATATATGGATTTTTGTTTCAAAAGAACCACAAGGAAAAAGTGAGGTTTGGTACCCCACCTGAGCCAGTAGGGACAATGGACAGGGAAAGTTGTGAAATGGCCCTAATAAGAGCCACAGAATGCTAAAAGAAAACATCAGATGCTATTGCATGTCAAAGTGCTCACCGGCTTTAACGTTGCTTAACTATCTCTGCTGTGAGTCGAGCAGCTGGGAAAGCATGAAATCACTGTTGGTTGAGGGTGGGTTTCAGTGGGGATGGGAAGGAAGGACCATGAGGCATGATGTATCATACAAGGAGATGAGTCTAGAAGGTGGATGGTTATGTGTTGGGACTGGACCTGGAACTGTTTGTTAAGAAGTCCTTATAAAGGCCATGGCATGTACCAAATAATTATTCGCAACTGGTCCCCCATCCAGGTGCTTACTATGCATAATGCTGCTTAACCTTTTTAAGGACAAATGTCTTATATATTGACACCCGAGTGACTTGGCAAGTGGCCGAATGTCCAGTACATTGACAGTCGTATATCTTCTTTATGGGGAACCCTTCTGGCACCCTGTGCATGTTCTTAGCCCAAACAAGGCATGGAATTTTACTCAGCAAGGTTTCAACATTATCTTCAGTCCATGCATCAAATTTATGTTCCCATGCATACAGCTGTTCTGATCACATGCAACAATTTGCTGACGGTCAGAACCCAGACAGCAGATGTGTTTTCCTTCTCATTCCCTTTTTGGCATCTGTAACAGTAGGATTGCTTCTAAAGGGTTCTGATGATGGTGGATGACACACAGAATTACTGGGGTTTTGGACTTTTAACATTGTCTGGAATTTTAGGTAATAGAGGACATGATGTTTTGGAAACTGGATGTTTCCATATTCCTTTCTCACCTAAAGACAGAACAGATATGGTTTCCAAAACATTGTGTCCTCTGTTACCTAAAATTCCAGACAATGGGAAAAGTCCAAAACCCCAGTAATTCAGTAGGATTGCTATTCACGCCTGATAAATATACATGGGGGAGGTGAAGTATGTGAGGAGAAATGAAAATTGTTTATGATTTCATTTACTTCACAATTCTCAGTGGCAGATTGTTACCACCCATCTGTAATTTTCTTTGTTTATGTGCATATAAAGCAGTTTTATGAACAGGGAAGAAAAAGTGAGAAAAAGGATAGTGTTGCTACTGAATAAGATAGTACCGTGTTCAGTGTCAGTCAGAGATGAAGCCCCCAACTTGAAGGTTGAAGATGTGATAATGTGCTGCCTGATCAGGGCTATAATACTCAGGTGACAGCTATAGATGGTTATGAAATAATGGTGGAATGATGATTAGTACGGGAAATTGAAGAGAAACTTCAGCTAATACCACTTCATCCTTCACAAATCTCACATGAAGTCACCTGGGATTGAACTGAGGCCCCAAAGTGAGAAGCCAGTATCCATCTGAGCTGTGACACAGCCTCTGATGGAAGTCTTATGGATAAATTTCAGTTATAAAACCAACAGTACTGTTCAACGGTATAGGCATGTTTACTGATAAAATATTCACATATCTGAAATACTCGTACTTATATTATGAACTTTTAGAGAACCTTCAGTGTGCCCCTTTTGTGCTTCACAGTTATACGACCACGGAATATTCAACCAGGGCAACAAGCAGGAGCTCCTAAGCGATGTGACCCAGTAAAGCTGTATCATCATTACCAGGATATCTGGAGACAGCAGAAAGTCCCTGGTGAAGACAATCATTCCAACCTACGATGGTGTATACGTGTGAGAATGCTAGGTGAAGATCCACAGCCTCGTGTGAGTATAACTATTTAGTAGGAAGTCATTTATTTACAAAAGAGCTGTGATTGTAGTTTTGCAGTCAAAGGTTTCTAGAGAAAAATTTTAATCTGCAATGAAAGCATTAACATAAACTGTTAAAATAGTAAGATGAACTCTGTTGCTCATGGATGTATATTTGCTCCCATCATTCTTGTTCTTGTGTTTTTGTCAGAGGAGTTTAATAACTTCAGCATTTAGAGTTATACAGTACAGAATTTTCTTCAGTTTTCTGCCATACACTGTAGTTTCCACATGCAGGGTAAGATGGTAGCTGCATAGTTTGTCAACATGGTAATCCTGCAACATTCTATGTGACCTATTCCCAGAAGCAGAAGTATAAATTATTACCTACTATGCTTTAATTTTAAAATTGCTAACTATCTCTTTGGTAGCTGACTCAAACTGCTAGCATCAAAGCCCACAATTGCATATGATCATGAGTTAGTCCTGTCCACTCTTCACATCAAACTATTGTTTCCTTTAAGATGCACTGTCATGTTATATTGCCATCTCCATCGTTTTCCAAGCGGTTTCCCCACCAAAATTTTGTATGTATTTTTCTTTTGTTCAAGCTGTATGTCCAGTCAATCACCATATTTCCAGGCATCTGGCTCAATCACTGCCCATCAGCAAATGTTGCTGTGTTTCAGCAGTCAGTGATATTAAAATTTCAGGAATTTTATATCCTAACATTTCAAAACTTCTCATAATTGTTTTAGTGATCCTGCAGTCAGTTCAGCTTGATCCAGCATCTGAAACTTTACTGTTCTGGATCTCAATGTAATTACCTGGACACATTGGTTTTTGTGGGTAGAGGCTCCTAGTTCAGTTTTGTTTGTTTTTTTTTTCTTTGGATGGGATGAAACTGAGTCTACTTGGTATGTTGGCCACTAATTGGCCTCTGTATCAGCCCCAGATGATGATGATGATGATGATGATGAATGTGGAGCAGTTGGGGGAATGAGAATTGGCAGGGGAAACTGCAATACTCAGAGAAAACCTGCCCCAGTGGCAGGGCTCAAACCCAGGCTGCTACATTGGGAAGCATGTGACTTGTCACTTGTGTGACAGAGTTGCCGCTGTCATTTTCATGTCACCATAAGAGAAGATTTAAAACTGTAGTTAGTGCACAATTTATTTTTAAAGTGTAAAAGTTGCTCTTCCTTCTGAAATTAAAAGTAACTATATCCCATTGAAGACACACAGCTGTTATACAATTTAGTGTGACTGTTTTTGCAGTATATTCTTCATTTATTGATTTAAACCTTAAGAGTGAACAAATTTACTTTTGTAACTAGAAAATAAGATCTTGTTTGTTCTTTAAGCTTTCTGAAACTACTGACATTCAGCAGATGAAATAGCATAAAAGCCAAGATGTCTTTGTGATCTTCACAAGATGTTAATAAAGTTGTATTGCCCCACAGGAGAGTAGAGAACCAGACTTTTTTTTTGTTGGTATCTTTTATACCATTCTGAATAAGTTTAGCCATTCCCTTTGTAATGAGTATTAAATAATGAACAGGTTATATGTGCCAAATTGCCATCTGTATATACTGTAGTAAATTAAACATTATTTTGAAATGAGTACATTTAGCACACTATATACTTTTGCCTGTAAATCAAGGCTTCTCTAGAACTTATTTTGAATCATTATAGAAATTCCAAGTTGGGGTAGATGGCTATGATTTTTCCAAAAATATTTTAAGAAATGTTTGTCTTCATTTAAAAACAACATTTTCTAATAGAGTAGACCTGGTCAAGCACCTGCTCAGTCTTGGTAGAGAAGTTCGAATACATTGGTGTCTCATTTCCTTTACAATTTTACTTCAAACTGAGTCTGCTGTTTCTTGTACATATTCAGTACTCCTCTGCTGGCTAAATTAATATGTCCTTTCCTTTATCTTTCAGCCCATTTCACGAGCTTCGTCCACAAGAACACTGAGCAGGCAACATAGGGAAGTGTGAATTTTTATCCTTTATGAAACACTGGCATTTTATCTTGTTGGCTTATCTGTTAACTTGGAACTGATGTCGGAAAGGCATTACTTGTAAATGTCTGTCATCCTAATTAGACAGTTTATTTTCCATGAACTGACAACTGTATTAGAAGTATATAATTATAAGACAGTACTCAAGATGAGAAATACTACATAATATATTTATCTTCTGAAACATTTATTTTTATTTGTGCATCAGCTTTTTTTCCTCACAAATGCTGAATTCTGGTATTGGTAAACTCAGTGTCCCAGCAGTGAAGCAAAATGTCAAATGTGTATATGCAAAAATTATGTAGCTTACATGAGGGTAGACGTTAAAAAAAATATTTGAACTATATTGTGATATGACGCCTGAAAGCAGGAGGAGATGACCATTGCTAGGCAATGGTTAAGTAGATACATTCTTATGGCAATGAATAAGCACACAACAATTTAGGAACTGCTGGGTGTGGTGTTTTCCATGTGGTCCAACTTACAGGAGGACTCAGTTGGAGTCACGGAACAAACAAAAATTTGGTCATGGATCCTGTCAGGACCTGAAACCAAGAATGACTGTGTTGTTGAGGGCCAGCAGTTTACTGCTATGCTAGTTACAAGACAAAAATATGGTCAAGGGTCTCACAAAGCCCAGAGCCAAGAATGACTGTGCTGGCAAAGCCAGCAGCAAATTAACCAACCTACAGGACCGCAGGGAATCGTGACAGAAAAATGTGGTCACAGAACCTGAAACCAACAGTGACTGTGCTAGTGGAGGCCAGCAGCACTTTACCAGACAGACAGGACTGTGGGAATAGAGAACCAGCTAACAACTGTCAGTCAGTCATGGGACAGAACCAAGAATGACTGTCTTGGATGAAAGCTAGCAACAACTTTCTGGTCTGGACTGCACTTGGTGGTTAACAGTCTGTTGCTAGCCAGCAGGGACAGGAGCTGTTGAGCACAGAAGCAGTAAAAGAAGCTTCTACCAAGGAATGATTAGTGAAGAAATAGCAGTTATTTGCAGCTGTCATTATTTGTGGATCATGTAGATCACTGAGAACGTTATAACTGATGAGTACCATCTTCTGGGATATAACTTCACATAGTTATTGAAAGTCAACCGACTTCAGGTTTTGAATAAGCCAAGCAAGATACCAGAATGCAAGCAGGTTGCAAGCCAACCATCAAGATGGAGGTGATGGTTCGTCTGAAACGTGGGCTGAATTTAAACGGACTACACAGCGTTATATCCCAGAAGATAGTACTCGATCATAACCACTGCTGTGGAAACCTCAAATCCTACATAGTGTTGTGTTTGTAGATATGAGTCATAAATGTTCAGTAGCTTCAGTAGTCGGTCCAAACCCTGTGTCTAGTCACTAACACATAATAATACTGACAATATTTTGAAACATAAAATGCCATCCCATTTCCCCTAACATATTGTGACATGTAGACCCATTGCCGAGTAACAGCTGGGTAAACAAGGAACAGTACAACAGCCATTGGTCAGGTTTCACATGGTATTATTATAAACGGGGTTTGGGTTGATTATCGGATTTACTGGACACTTAAAGAACTTGTGACAGTTTCACTGAGTTACTCCAAAGATCACTAACTACAGCACACACAAAGTCTTGAGGCTATGAAGCTGATAATGAAGGTTATCGGTCAGTCCACAGGAAACAAACTTCCGATTCTTTATTCTTTCATCCAGACTGAAAAGCTACAGGCGATAACAAAGCAAACACACCAGAATTGTTGCATATATTTCCTAACCTGTCTGTTTTTACCTGTCCTACAGCTTTCTGCCCAGGAATGGGCTGCTTCTTTGAGAAGCCCATCTGGTCTATCCTATAGGTAACCAAAGTGGCAGAGAGCAACTGTTGACTGTTTACTCAGGAGCTAAAATCCTAAACCTTTACAGTAGTCAGATACATGTGCATCAATGCCAATGTGGTATCATTCTGGTAGATGAAGATATACCATTTCAAATGAACTACAGCTGTGCCTGATTTTTTGAGATCTCCAGGTCCTCACCATAGTTAGAATTGTTGATACAAACACTAAGCAGGATTGTCCTATGTGACATATTCTGCCCAAGCAAACAGGAGGTGCTGAAGTATAACTTGACCAGAGAAGGCAAGTTCCAGTTACCACTACTCTCTGATCCCATTTGATCTAAGATGAGACTGGCCCAAGGACTGTCACTGTTCTTTCTGAGACACTCTCACATCCAAAGGTTAATAACTGTGTACTGTGTTACGTGTACACCAATTGGTAGGCAATGTGTTGACAGACAAGTTCCCATGAAGACAGATTCTTGGTAAACAGCACATTGCTAGGTCATGCAACAATAGAGGAAGCCATATTTTCTGTTTGCAGTGACATCACAACAGTGGATAGTGATCATGTGACGTGTTTTTTATAGATCTGACCGATGCACCAATAGGCTTGCTGGATAGCAATCATGTAATTTATGTTAACTGTAGGTCCATGTCCGTTCCTTGGCCATATAAGTAAAGCAGTTACAAGTTATGAATAATAACTGCAGAAGCAAGCAAACAAGTAAGGAGATAGCCATGGGAAGTTCGTAGTTGAAGAATTATAAGTTGGCCTGTGAAGACTTAAGCGTGATAGAAGATTTCGTTTATATGTAATATTTGCAATGTGTGATTCGGTGACTTTTATAGTTTGTTATAAACTCATGAAGACTAGTGCAAATCAACTGAAGAGATTAGTGTGGAGTGATTGTACATTCTGTAAAGCAGCAGTAGTGTAATTAACTGTAGTTATGACCTGTAAGTGGTTAATAAATATGATTACCAATCCAAACCCACGTCTTAGTCACTTTGACACGTGACAACCATATACAAGTGATGTCGGTACAGCCATTACATAGTTGACAAATACTGTACACTAGACAGAATAAAATTCAAAACATTTTTGAGTCAATCACATTTATTTAATCACTTAATATAGAATATAAAATTATGTAAATCAATAAAGACACAAATGAACTCTCCAACAATCTATACAACAGTGGTTCACAACCTTTCTGACATAATATTTCCCTTTTACTTTTCACCAAACACCCCCAGCATTTACAGATATAAATTTAACAATCTGCACTCCTATTAATATTATTCCTCACAATGGCCCAGCCCATAATTATTTTATCAATTTTGTGTGTATTCCACACAGGTCAGAATGTACAAGCTGAGCTGCTATTTGTTACATCATTAGCTGGGTTGACTGAACATTCCACTCCATGGATTAGTGCTTCATGCCAAAATGTATCACACACATAAATATTTGCTTTTAGGACCATGTCTCTCCTGGTTTCCATCTAAGAAAGGAAGAAAGTAACTTTTGAAGTGGGCTGCAATGCCCTCTCAAAAAGTGAAAATGTCTTAAGCCTCCTTAACTAATGCACAATAGAAAAATACTGTCAATCCAAAGAACACTTAGATTCTAAAGAGCTGTCATGATGGAGTTTAACACTCGGAATTACATGGTTTTTGGACTTTGTTCATAATTTGCAATTCTAAAAGACTAGAACTAAAAGAACTAGTTAGAATATTCAACAATGAACAAAGTCCAAAAACCAAGTAAATCCAAAGAAAACTGTAGCAGCACATACCAAATAATGAAATACTGCTCAGTAGTTTCATATTCAGACACTGGGAAACTATTGCCTTACTGCCCTGTACCAAAAATGTGAATAAAAATATAAATTTTAAAATGAAAATGTTGCATGGTGACCTTTACTTGGCAATGAATAGGGCTAACAAATGTTAAAGTCTGACATCCTATTTTTACTCTCATATAGTTTTATGAGGAGGTATTGTGATGGTGAGAGACATCAAGCCAAGATTTCAATGCATCCACATATTCTGAGCCACCTTGATTACAAAAAGTGGTTCGTGGTGTGCCACCAGTCTGTATGTATGGATGTGCACCTCACTAGTGCCCGGCTGCATGGAGGGATTTTATTCATATTGTCACATGTTAGTGACTACACATGGGGTCTGAATTTGTAACTGAAATGCACTCACTATATATTGCTACACCACATTTCCTATTCTTTTCATTTTGTTATGTCTTCCATAGTTGCTGCAAGGCAGTGCCTTCTAACAGTGGAAATTCCTGTGTTTCCATGTTTATAGCTAGTCACCAACTATGAGCAATGCTTCATGACTGACTTAGCATAGCAGTAAATTTCTGCTGGTCCTTGCCAGCATAGTTATTCTTGGTTTCAGGCCCCACTGGGACTCATCATATTTTTGTCCATTTCAAGTCCAATTTATGTGTTTACTGAGTCATCACTTAGCAACAGTGGCCTCTTCTGGTTCCGTTATTTCAGCTTTCAGCTGGCATGTCACATTCAGAATTCAAGATTATCCATCATAGGCTGGTGCCTGGTGAATACAAACATTCCAGCTCTTGAAAATGACTCTAATGATTTTAACTAAATTTCAGTAATTTATGGAGACAGTCTTCATAAATAAAGCTGCATAGGTGATTTGTGAGAGCCGGGATAGCACAGTCGGTATAACAACTAGCTACTAGCTGGATGGCCGGGGTTAGTTTGAATACCTGTGGGGTCAAGAATTTTCGCCCTGTCCAGACTGGCTCTGGGGTCCATCCAACCTCCTATCTAATGGGTACCAGGGGCTCTCCCTGGGGGTGAATCAGCTGGGGCATGAAGCTGGCCACTCGCTTCCAACTAGTGCCAAGATCAAGAAAATATTGCTCTAAAAATCCACTCCCCTGTACGCCTTCATGGCATAGTGCTTAATTAGTTAAGCACGGGGACAATTTTACTTTTACTTTTATAGGTGATTTCTTCAGGAAAATAACACTATGTGCACTACAGGCTCACACACAAAACATCAGTTTCGTCAAAATCAGCTTTATTAGGCAGACTGATTTTGTCGTGTATTCAGCAACCAAAGGCTGTGCCACAGCTGAAGTGGTTAGTTGCTGGCTTCCCACTATGGTGGCCCGGGTCTGGTCATGTGGAATTTGTAGTGGGCAAAGTGGCGCCGGGGCAGGTTTTCTCCAAACACTTCAGTTTCCCTTGCCAATCTTCATTCCACCAACAGCTCCACAGTCACCCTCATCTATCATCTGGGGGTGGTACAGTAGGCCAGTAGTGGCCACAGCACAAAGTGGACTCAGTCTCACCCCACTAAGAATAATTCAGCAACAAACAATCAATTTTCCTTCCAATGTGACATAGTCAAGGTCAATGTTATATGAGTAGGTATATGTACAGTCTTTGCATCGATATTTTAATATCTTGATGAATAATTCTGACAGGCACTTACAAAAGAGTTGCTTATATCAGGTAAGAATAAAAACTGATTACAGTAGGCCCTTGTTATACCGTGGATTCAGACATACCATGCTTTTGATCATGTCCACAGTATGTTTTATGTCATACAAATTCTATGAAATGTTAATTGCAGTATAAGACTTTACTGCAACATTCCTTCCTGTAGTTTGCAGGCAACAGAGGAAAGCTCCAGAGTCCACTATGAACAGGCTGTATGTTTCTCTAACCTTGGGATTACTTTATTCACACAGCAAAATTGACTGAACACCCCCTCTACCTGCTTGACCAGTCTGAAATGTGCCTTAAATTTCATACATATAGTATTTCAGTCACTGCATACATAATAACAGGAATTCCAAAATTAGGTAAATGTTAATTTAACTTATGACATGGGAAGTCACACTGTCCTCAAACATAAAAACTTATTTCCTTTTCTCATGGCATCACACCCCCTGGAACTTTCTCATTCCTACCCAGGTGGACCCCCCCCCCATTTGGGAACCACTGCTGTATAATAATATACATGCCACTACTGGATAAATTCAGTAAACTAAAGTAAGTAAACAAAATAAATGCAAAGTGACATCATTTGTGAACTCTACAGACATTATATGCCTCATTACATGTTCTAAATTCATTCTTGTGATTGTGACAAGAACACACTGTACAACATATCAAAATAAATAAATATGCTAGATTTGAGGTTCTTACAGGACTGACTATGAAGAGTACAGTCTCTGGGGCTTCAATGCCATGTACTTCGAAGAAAGCTTGATGTTTCTACTGCCTCCAACAATAAACCAAGCAAAAACTACACAGCATTACAACCATGGGGACTGTACACTAAAAAAATAAATATAATTAAAAAAATATCATTTTAGTAATAATCCAAAGAAAGACATTAATATTCTGTTTGTTACGAGTGTACTCAGAAAACAATGGACATTGGCTGGTCACTAGATTGGGAGGCAGAGGGCCCTGAGGAGTCTACTTATTGTCTGCCTTACACCATCTGAATTTTACTTATGAACAACTCTGTTTGTGACTACAGAATATAACAATAAGGCAAGTTGCAACACATATGCCTGCTTTGAAGGAAGACTGCCTCTTATGATCCATTATAGTCATGATGGCTCCATGAAAAGGGAAGAATTGTAATTAAGTTTTCTTGTGCCTTTGTCATGATGGAGACACAGACAATCTCTAAAACACTGGATACTCATTCCATCTTCATGAGGCTGTGATGGTGCAAGAAGACTTCACTGCAACCAGTCAATATGAAAGCTATAAATCATATACAGGGATATGTTATTTCAACTGTACACTTGTCAGTTCTTCAGAATTTACAGTAGGTTTAGTCAGCTTTGTTGTATTTCACAAGGGTTGAAACATGTTGTGAACAAGAAAGAAAAATAAAGAACCATACTTTTTAAATATTTATGAGATGGTTATTATGTAACCTACAGAAAGACTAAAACAGGATTCAGTTCTATAAAATGTTAACAGATTGATATGACAGCACTAAGAGAGCTGGAAAACATTTCATTGCAAGTTTTATTAGTTCTGAATGTGACTTACATTTTATGTTTCCTGATAACAAAACATATTAGGAAAAAAGAGATGAGAGAAAACACATGTTAATTCAGGGACTAACACCACAGCACTGAAGATGTTACATACTGAACAGTGTAGATAGGCAGACAGTAGTGCAGTCATGCATGTGGCATCTGTCTCTGTGACTGCTAGTGCCAAGGTCTGAAAAACTGATCTCTTTCAGCAGCTTGGGCACTATACAAAGTACATTTACTGTACTTGTAAATATTTCCACTACAGCTTATTTAATATAACCACAGCTATCCTCCATATCATCAGCCAGGATAGTGCAGTTGGTATAACAACTGGCTATGGGCTGGATGACCAAGGGGTCAGAATTTGAGTCCCAGTGGGGGCAAGAACTTCTACTTCTCCATGTCGTCCAGACCAACTCTGGGGCCCATTCAACCTCCTATGCAATGGATACTGGGGACTCTTTCCCCAGGGGTAAGGCGGCTGTGGTGTGAAGCTGACCACTCATCTCCAACTATTGCTGGGGTCAAGAAAACGTGGGTCTATACATCCACTCCCCCTTACATCTTCATGGCACAGGGACATCTTTACCTATTACACTCTGGTTACAACTCTGAGCAACTTGCATTCTAAGGAGACGATTCCGCATTCAGTGAATCAGTATTTGCGAAACTAACACGCACCCACAACTGTATTATTATTCAGTAAGTGTTGAATGTGAAGTCACTTATTGCTCTGAAGAAGCAAGGCAAGTGCATGTGGACAGATCCTCCAGCTGAACATGATCTTCCAGGCAATCATCATTCCATACATCCTAAATGTCCCATTGCCCCAGTAAATGTGCTCCAAACTATGTTTTTACCTACCATTTCTGAAACACCCACAAATGTCTTGTTCAAAGAGCTCATCACCAAGCAACTTATCATGGAACTGCAAAAATCCCAACTTCCACCCATTGTGAAATAAGTTCACTGGCACCCAACCACACATAACATGTCAAATGTCTGAACATATGAAAAGGGATAGACAATTATAACACTATGAAGATGATCAGAAAATGAAGTGAACAGAAGAAAATTGAAGAAATAGGTCAAGGAACAATGGAGAATTATACAACATACTGTATTGTGCAGACCTGTTGCTGGGTAATGGTCGCGAAATGCCNCCGTCATCTTTCGGTAGACTGTAAGGAGGCCCCCCCCCCCCAAAAAAAAAAACGCTGTGGCCTGTAGTCTGCAAGCAAACTATACCAACCAAGCGACTGTAAAGAATCAAGACTACTAGCAGAACTGGCAAGCCTACAGGTGAACAAATTAAAAATAAGTCTTATCCAGATCATAGCATATGCTGGTAATGCTCTCTGTTTTCACACACACATTACTAGGACCTCTGTAAAAAGTTTACATTCATGTGCTTTTTTCTCAAAATAAAGTATACATGACACAAATTCATTTCCCACATTTTCCACTGTAAAAAAAAAAAAGTAAAGCTAAGCTATCCCTGTAACAGGCCATGGAGGTCCATAGGGTTGTGAGATGTTGAAGGTCTCACATTTTCTATACAATCGGCTCATAGATGGCGGCAAGTTTGTCAGCCCTATGCGCTGGACGCCCTTTACCCCAAGAATATTCCTCGTACTCATTTCTGTTAGAGGCTGAGTTGACCCCCGGGGCCATAGTGTGGCTAGATGGATTAGGTCAATTAAAAAAAATCCAATGATGTCATCGGGACTTGAATCTGTGACCTTCCGGCTTGTAGCATAGTGCCTCAACCAACTATGCAACCAGAACCCCTTCCATTTCTGAAGAGAAATTAAACGCTTTTCAATCTTGAATTAAATACTTTGTACTTTACTGACATCCCCCTCCATATTTCAATAGTACCTGCTGCACCATTTTCCCACAAAACTTGGATACTGAGCTTACAGCACTGAAAAAAGGCATGGAAGAGAACAAGTGAGAAAAACTCAACAACTACTGTACAGATTTAAAAGTTTGTGGTGATGATGCTGTATTAATACAATTATTGACCTCTTGGACATGATCCATCAACCTGTTTCTTTATTTAAAACAACATTTTTGGAGACTAGACTCAGACTCCATTCTCAGTTGAGCCCAGGGATGATGCTTAGCTCTGTCGAATGGGCCCAACTGAGTAGACTTTTCACCCGAGGACAGGAAGAGTTCAGTTTGCAAAACCTTCTTTTAAATAAAAAACAGAATAACAGATAATGTCCAAAAAAAAACAGTAACTGAACTGCTGTATATTTGGACTATTTCAAGCGTCAATAAGTGACATTTAAAGTTTCACTGTATTTGAGTTACATCTGCAGGAGAAAATGATATTTATGTACACCATGTTAACAGCTCAGATGTGCTCAGAAGTCACACACACAGTAAACTGTAGGTGACTGGATTGGCATGTTTCAGATAGCAATATGATTTCCATTGCCTTACAACTTTTTTGGGGGCACGTGGTAGCATAGTTGGTTGAGGCACTGCTACAAGCCAGAATTTTGTGGGTTCGATTCCCATCGAGATGCATTTTTTCTTCAATTTACATAAGCTTTCCAGCTGCACTATGACCATGAGGTCGATTCCGCCTTTAACAGAATTGAGTACCAGGAATTTTCCTGGGGGTGTAAGGGGTGGCTGGCGCATAAGGCTGACAACCTTACTGCCATCTGTGAGCCGATTTTCTATAAGATGTGGGAGCCCTGACCTCTCACAACCCTATGAGCCTTCACAGCCTGTTAGAAGGATAGCTTTAACTATTTTATACAAGTTCTTTGTCATTGAAATGCACTGTAAAGATTTTGTTCAGCACCAATGGAGTTAGCCTCATGATAAAACAGCAACATGTGTACCATGCTGCAGCATTTGGCAAGCTGGGCTATAACACAAAGCAGTAAGTTTTACTGCATTGATCTGTTTAAAACATCATTCCCATAATCCACAAAATAAGTTTTGCAAATCTCCTTGGAAAAATGCACCCTTGTGCGGTTAGATTACTGTAATTTTGGTCCTTTAAAGAGGGTCAACAAATTCCGTGCACAAAACTGGCACTAACAATAACAGAGGGTAAAGGTGGACTGTTCTTCCTGCATTGCTATCAAAACACACATGCCACAGACATGAACCAGCTCCACAATTCTACTTCAGTTGCCAATCATCATCATCACTCAAGTCATCATCATTATGCTTAAGCTTGGAGAAGAGCACGTCTCTCACTTTGGGTCGAGGGTCTTCATCCAGTTGTGTGGGGACAGCTCCAGATTGCCCAAGAATCCACTCCAGTTCTGTAAGCAAGAAATTACATCTGAGAGGCTGTACATTAAAGAAACATACCTAAGTCAATTTTAAAAAGAATAAAAGCAGATATTAACCTTCCAAACATCAGATTTTAAATTGCCTAGTGGTACTATATGTATGAGTTTACAGGTGGAGTATTTAAATTTTACTACAATATTTCAGTAAGTATGGTACATAAATTCACAAAATAAATAGTAATTTAATCTAACAGTAAATCAAATAATGCAAAAATTAAATTCTGTTAATGCAGTTAATTTTTCCAAGATAATAAACATTTATAACATTTCTTTTACTTACTTTCTAATTACAGAGTTCTGTTTCTGATCAGAGGTCACTGTCTGCTGTATTTTTTACAGCTGCAGCTTTGTGTGAGTTTAAGAATTTTTGTTCACACAGAAACCAACCTTACATTTTAGGCACTTCCAGAACTTCCTGTAATCCCACATTCCGAACACAGTTATTTTTCTGTAACAGGTCACTGTCTTGTGAGATTTCAAATTCTTACAGCAGGGACCATGAGGAGTACTATATTATGGGACGTAATGCTGTGTAGTGTGGAAGAAATTTATCAATGTTTCGGAAAGACAGGGAGGGTACAGGAGTAAGCCAGGTAGACAGGGACCCAGAAAATGGAAGCAACAGTAACTTCTGCCAGACTACACTGCATGACATCCTAGAAGATGGTACTTTTCAACTGCCAGTTCCACCCAGTCCACTGGTTTGGTGGCTTATCTAATGGCCCCTATGGACAAAGATGCTCTAAAGCTCACGCCAGCATGTTCCACTCTAAACACAGATAAAATTCTCTATGTGAAGTTTTCATACCATAATAGGAACAAAGAAAAATATAACTGTTCAAAACTGCTGGATCTAATACATGAAAGAAGAGTTTTCTAATTCACTTCCATGTGTGATGGTTGCCAGGATAACTGTGTGTCATCTCATTCTCCCTTACTCACATAACCCATGCACTGGCTGTACTGTTACTCTAAGTCAAACTGACTACTGTGGCCCAGTGTGCAGCTCTCTTGCCTTGGTGTTCATGGGTTTCCAGTTTCAAACCTCAACCTAGAGACAGGGAGGGGGTCTCAAAACCCTATGGGCCTCTACAGCTTGTTACAGGGATATTTTTACCTTTTCTACCCAGAAAATTATTACACATCTCAGATATCTCGAACACTGTTCACTGGGCCTTAAAATGTACTAATTTAATGAATGCAACACAGACTGTGACAGTTTCTTAGCCAGTCTTCACAAGTTATGAAGACAGTGAATCTGAAATGCAATTTTTACTGTGAAGTCAGAACATAGTGTGTGAAGTAAGTTTTCGGCTCAGAGAATCAACAGATCTGGCACCGATTTTTTTTTGTGTAGTTCCTATGTCTTACCCTTTTCTGAATTTGGAAAGCATAATGCCCCATTCCCAGTTCAAAACATACATTCCATTACAGGTTTTTCTCTGCTGGTCTCACTCAGTCTACCGATAGCAGTAAGAGGAATCTCCCCAAAGGCACTTCCCCTCAAAAGTAGATTCCTCTATTCTTGTCAGGTGGGAAAAGAGGAGAGCAGCAAGAACCAAAACCTTGCACTGGAAAAATCAGAAAAATACATTACAACAAGTTATACATGCATATTCTAGGAAACATCTGTCCCTGCAGCTGAAATGACAGCCAAGATATGCCATCAAATGGTTCAAAGGGCATTACAATTAAAATTTAAATGAAAGAGAGACCTATGGGATAACTCACAATAAACTAGTTTTGCCAGGTACTGGAAAACATTGCAGGGAGAGGAAAGAGATGGCAAGAAACTGAAAAGATAAATTATGGGAAGAAAGAAGACAGCTGAGGCTTATAGCTTATGCGTGGGTAGGAACCGCAGATCTCGGTGTTGCCTAACGAAGAACACAGCAGCAAGTGGTGGCAGGTCGATGCCGACTTCTGATATTTATACACACTCACCATCCACAGTCAGATTCATGCCTCGGAACTCATGGGGCCCTACAAGCTGCTTCTTGAGGTCACCTTCGAAGTATATAAATATGGCTGGCAAGTTACTGTCAGGAAAGTTTGGGATGCAAGTTGTCGAGACGCTCTTCAGGAACTTAGTGGTTGGGAACTTCACAGACAACTGCGACAAGTGTTGGTTGAGCAGTGAACACAATGGGATCCTGCACAGACATAATACTCATGTTAGTTAAATGACCAGAACAGCAACCTGTTAAACGACCGCTTGCTGCATTCAAGCTCATGGTGACCTCAACCTTCAGCTGGATGGAATTACATGTCAATTGTCTTCATGAAATGTGATGTCTGAAGTTGTGACAGTGGTGACTACGGACAATACTCTTTCTGGGATGTGATGTGATGTAGTCTAGACCCTGCAAAGGGTGCCAACCTAATAGGCTACATGGTGCTACATCCCAGAAGACAATAATCCTCACTGTCTTTCACAACAATGACAGACTGGATACAGGACTTGTGGAAGATAAAAAACACAGAAGCTCATTCTTGTTAACATGAAATATTGAGCCACTGTGTCAAAATTAACAAAAGACATGAGTATGCACATCTCCTCTATAGCACAGGGTAAGATCTGACATACAAAGGGTACAACTAGCAGGATGAATCAAGCAGTCTCACCCTTGCTTGAAGAGATGCAGCACAACCCACACACCTTCGCCTGCATTGTTCACATGTTCCACATAGTCTTCTGCACTGATCTCCCTCACCTCACCAAAGCGAGCCTTTGCTGCTTCAGCTTTCATCTGGGTGATGCGTTTTTTGCGATATTCAAGGATCACTTTCTCATCCTCTTCATCCTCCAGCTCATCAAGTTCATCAAGGGACAGTCTTTCCAGCTGTTGGGCACCTGTACAATTACAGAAATTTCTGTTTCAATAATGTTCATATTCCTCAACACAACAAACTGAATATTTTCAACTTTTGCTAAATATGTCTCTTAGTGGCAGCTTCATTCCATTAAAGAAGCGTGTAAATGAAATAGATGAAATATAATTTTGTTACATATGTAATAACGGGTGAATGAAGTAAATTTTTTAACTGCCACATTGTAACACAGAATCTGGATGTGAATTTTAAGCATTAAAAAGTCAATCACAAGTATAACTTCACTGATCCATCAAGTTTACACACCAAAAATGAGGAACAGATCTAGCAGTTGGGCAGATGGCAAGACAAGAAGCAGCAAGGCACTGTGTGTCAATATATGGCGCCTTGCCAGACCAAATTTATAGGGCAGTCAACTCAACAAAGGTCCTTTCACTGCCATTTTGTAAATGATCAAACACTAACTGCCACTGTACACTGAAATGTAATGTTCCAGTTTTCCTTCACGAATAAACCTTGTATGAAAGTCAATAAATATTATAAAATACATAATAGAAAATGCCCATAAAATTCTCTGGGTCACCCATTAAAATCCAAGTACTGTAAGTTTTAATTTTAATTTCATGCATCCTGCCATGTTACAATATATACAACCTTTTATTTGCTGTGTTGTGACGGTCAAATAAAGAGGTTGTATATACTGTAAGTTTTCTTAATCATTGCTTCCATCAAAAATCTTCTATACCATTATGGTCATTTTGAATTTTCAATGTATGTTACTGTCAACATATTAAAATGAATACTCCACAATGAAATTATTAAAATGTATAAAATGATCACATACTTCTGTGTTTTAGCATCCTGTTGCAGTTGTTTAACTTAATGTCCATGTATTTATCATCTGTCAATATTTCAACACTTGTGAATAAACAAGTGTTGCAATATTGGTGGATCTACAACAGTAGATCCAATTTTACTCTCACGATAACCATAACACGATGAGAAGAAAGTACATTTATACCATTATCTTTAAGAGAATATATAAGTAATTTGCAACATTCATTCATTAATGGCCCTGCAGCTCTTTGTTGGGCCCTAGCCTCTTTCAGTACTGCAATCGTTTTTACATAGACAGTAGAACTCCTTGGACAAGTGACCAGCCTTTTCATTGGTTGCTACCTATACACAGGACAATACAGATACAGAATAAATGCACACAGACATCGATCACTTGAGTGGAATTCAAATTCACGACCTCAGTGTTCGAGCGAGCAAAGACAGTTCATGCCTTATACTATGGAGCCATTGTGATCAGCAATCTGTAACATCTACAACTGTCTCCTTCACCTCTCTCTCTCTCTCTCT